GCTGCACCTAGAAATTCTGTCCATAAAGGTAATGAACAGAACCGGTGACAAAGGGCAGCCCTGGCGGAGTCCAACCCTCACCGGGAACAGGTCCGACTTACTACCGGCTATGCGGACCAAACTCACGCTCCTCTGGTAAAGGGACTGAATGGCGTTAGAAAGCCACCCACCCCATACTCCTGGAGCGTCCCCCACAGGGAGCCCCTGGGGACACGGTCATAAGCCTTCTCCAAATCCACAAAACACATGTGGATTGGTTGGGCAAACTCCCATGCCCCCTCCATCACCCTTGCAAGGGTATAGAGCTGGTCCACAGTTCCATAGCCATAGGCTGAGGAGTGTGATCCCCTTATAGTTGGAACACACCCTCAGGTCACCCTTCTTAAAGATGGGGACCACCACCCCGGTCTGCCACTCCCTAGGAACTGCCCCCGATGACCACGCAATTTTGCAGAGACGTGTCAACCATGACAGCCCTACAACATCCATAGCCTTGAGATACCCAGGACGAACCTCATCCGCCCCCGGGGCTCCGTCGCTGTGTAGTTGTTCGACTACCTCAGCAACTTCTGCCTCCGAGATTGGACAGTCTATTCCCAGGTCTCCCGGCTCTGGTTCCTCCTTGGAATGCGCATAGGTGGGATTGAGGAGCTCCTCAAAGTATTCCTTCCACCGTCCGACTATAGCCCCAGTTGACGTCAGCAGCTCCCCATCCCCACTGTAAACAGTGTGAGCGAGTTGCTGTCTTCCTCTCCTGAGTCGCCGGACAGTTTGCCAGAACCTCTTTGGAGCCGATCGATAGTCTTTTCTCCATGGCCACACCAAACTCCTCCCACGCCCGAGATTTTGCCATGGCAATTGCCACTGCTGCACTCCGCTTGGCTATCCGGTACCTGTCTGCTGCCTCCGGAGACCCACAGACCAGCCACGCCCTGTAGGCCTCTTTCTTCAGCCTGACGGCTCCCCGAACCTCTGGTGTCCACCAGCGGGTACGGGGGTTTCCACCACGACTGGGACCGGCCACCTTGCGACCACAGCTAGCAACAGCCGCCTCAACAATCGCAGAGTGGAACAAGGCCCACTCGGAGTCAATGTCCCCCACTGCTCTCGGGATGCGGTCAAAGCTCTGCCGGAGGAGGGAGTTGAAGACCGTCTTAACAGGTTCTTCTGCCAGGCGTTCCCAGCAGACCCTCACTATGCGTTTGGGTCTGCCAGGTCTATGCGGCATCTTCCCCTGCCATCTGTTCCAACTCACCACCAGGTGGTGATCAGTTGACAGCTCCGCTCCTCTCTTCACTCGGGTGTCCAAAACATACGGCCGCAGGTCAGATGATACGACTATGTTTATGTTTATTATTATGTTTATTCATTTCGCAGACGCTTTTATCCAAAGCGACGTACAATTTTATAACCTATAGGGCATGTTGTGATCTGTGGGGGAAACCGGAGTACCCGGAGGAAACCCACGCATGCATGGGGAGAACACGCAACTCCACGCAGAAAGGCGAGTTTTGAACCTGCGACCTTCATGCTGCGAGGCAACAGTGCTAACCACTGCCCACCATGCAGCCCACGACTACAAAGTCTATCATCGACCTGCGACCTAGGCTGCCCTGGTACCAAGTGTACCGATGGGCATCCTTATGTTCGAACATGGTGTTCGTTATGGCCAAACTACGGCTTGCACAGAAGTCCAATAACGAAACACCACTTGAGTTCAGATCAGGCAGGCCGTTCCTCCCAATCACACCCCTCCAGGTCAAGCTGTCATTGCCCACGTGAGCATTGAAGTCCCCCAGCAGGACAATGGAGTCCCCTGATGGAGCACTATCTAGCACTCGTCCCAGGGACTCCAAAAAGGGTGGGTATTCTGAACTGATATTTGGCCCATAAGCACAAACAACAGTCAGGACCCATTCCCCGACCCGAAGGCGCAGGGAAGCTACCCTCTCGTCCCCCGGGGTAAACCCCAACACACAGGCAGAGAGTCTTGGGGCTAACAAAAAGCCAACCCCAGCCCTCCGCCTCTCACCTGGAGCAACTCCAGCAAAGGAGAGTGTCCAACCCCTCTCCAGGACTTGGGTTCCAGAGCCAATGCTATGTGTCGAGGTGAGTCCGACTATATCTAGCCGGTACCGCTCAACCTCTGCCACAAGCCCTTACTCCTTCCCCGCCAGCGGGGTGACGTTCCATGTCCCAAAAACCAGTTTCCTTGTCCAGGGATCGTACTGCCAAGGCTTCCGCCTTGGTCTGCCACCCGATCCACATTGCACCGACCCTTCATGTTCCTCCTGCGGGTGGTGCGCAGAGGTCACCACTGGCCACTAGGGTGTGCTGCGATCAAGTCTCGAGGGAAAAAGGTGTATTCAGGGATGTGCCTGAAGTCACGTACAGGTGACTATCCCTCACTGTACATACTGCTGCTTCTCAGTTGGATTGCTGCTGCTCATGCTACTGTTCGACTTGTATCTGTAAGTCTTCACCTGCTTGTTAAGGTAATGTAATGGTCTCATTGTCAGTATGCATGCTAAGCCGCGCTGCATTTATTTACCTATTTTATCACATTGCTTAGCTTTGGTCTTCAGCCCATGCTGCTGCTTCACGCTGCCGTTAGCTTCTGCTCACTCAGCTTTGTATGTCGCCGCAGGGCTCCTTCATCCTTGTCAATAAAACCATTTGACATCGAGGAGTGTATTTCTTCAGGTGGTGGGTCCACAGTTGGATGAGCCCATGTATCCGGTCCGGGCTGGGCCCGGCCGGGCCCCATGGGCGAAAGTCCGGCCACTAGGTGCTCGCTCACGGGCCCCAACCCCAGGCCTGGCTCCAGGGTGGAACCCCGGTAACCCTCCGGGCCGGGTACTCCGACTCTTTGAATTTACCTCCATGAAAGATCCTGTGAACGGTTCTTTGTCTCACCCTTCACCTAAGACCAATTTGTCATGGGAGATCCTAGGGGCACAAAGTGCCCCAGACAACATCGCTCCTAGGATCATTAGGGCACTCAAACTCCTCCACCATGATAAGGTGACGGTTCAAGGAGGAGGATTTGGGTAAAGTTTGAAAAGGCGTAAAAAGGGGCAGAAATCATAATATTTTTTCTTCTATCTGCTCCTTTTCATTCAAATGTTTTTTTTTTCAATATGTTAATGTATCCTGTATTTGTTTGTTTATTTTATACATTGTGAATGAAATAAAAGATAAAAAAAAATAAAGCTAATCTCTTTCTTCTTATTACATCCAGCTGCAGCACTTAGGAGTTTATCCTCCTTCTCTGCCCACTGGGTTTTCTACGTCACAAACCCAATCAGTTTTAGGCTGGATTCTTTTCATCTGCCACTGATTCACAGCGATGTGAATGCAAAAATACTCAGAAATGCAATTTTGAGCTTCAGTTTCTTTAGATATGTCCTGTAGCTTAAAGAGCAAGTCACCCCCAAATCACATTTTTTTTGCTGATAAACTATATAAAGGAGTGTCTAATCGTGCTGCAGACATGTATAGTCAATAATTTGGCAGTTCAATGCATCTTGGTTAAAATTCAAATATTCTGCCTATAACGGTCAGTGTTGCTGAAAAATTCTGCACTGTATTTGAATTTAAATCTGCCACCGCTATTGGCTAAGAGGTGTGATATGATGTCATCTGGTACATTATGATGTCACAATGCCATTGTGAGCCTGTGTGTGTGTGTATTTGTTAGCGGCTCCGCCCTCTCGGTCTGCCAAGCAACAGCATTTGTTGCATTTTTCAAACATGAAGTGGGAGTGAAGTAAGTTTCTTGTAGGGGGTGACTTGCTCTTTAAGAAAAATGCCTCAAGAGCATGTTCAAAGCAGAAAAATATATGATTTCATTAGTGGGTCTTTAACGACGCTTCGAATTAGTGAAAAATGAATCGAGGAATTTAATGTATCGAACCAACTGAAGACTTGTTTCAGCCTTACTTCCCTCCAGTTTACACCTTGTTGTAAAAGTGACTAATCAGGATTTCAATAATAAGAGATGTATTGTTAACCAGATGTAACCAAACTTTAATTGTTCTAAAATAATTTTGATAAATAGTTCTGTTTATTCAGGAGCTTTTCTAAAGTTTTTATTGGAACGTGGACTAGGACAATATTCAACCTAATTTATCAGACTAATCAGGATTTGTTGCCATGATGCATCGTTACACCTGATCACACCTTTACATTGTTTTAGCTCCATTCTGTGTACTTTGACTTTTAAAAAGCTTTTTTAACATTTGTGGATGTTTGAAGCATCCTTTGGGTTTTAGTAACGCCCGTTATCTCGTTTCCTCCTCAGATGTCTGCGGTGATCCTGGATCTCCCAGCTCTGGCCCAGAGTCCACAACAAGTTCCTTCAAAGATGACCTGGAGGCTGAGCTGGTTCAGGCACGACTCACGATGGCTTCTCCAACAAATTGACTCTATTCAGTTCAGTTGATACAATAAGGAAAAGAGATGTACATCATAACGTTTGACTTTGTTTTTGTCATAAAATTGCTAAAATGGAGATTTTAAGAGTACAGAGTTGAAGCTGATGTAGTGAAAGCTCTTTTCTTGAAATTAATACTTAATTTTTTAAGGTTATGAAGTTAAAGTGTACATTTATACCTTTTCTATAAAGAATAACTGTTTTGTACATAATTGAATGTACATTGGAGAATTTAAACTCCGTGGTTCAAACTGAATCTGTTTCTTCAGAAGCCTCAGGGCTGGTTTCCTCTGTGGCGGCGGATGACGATGAAGAAGAGCTCAACCAGCTGCTCAGTTTACAGAAACCTGCCTCTGATGTTGGAGGACATCAGTGTGCCCGTGGTGCAGGACAGGAGGAAGGTGAGCAGAGTTTGTAAAAACCTTTCTGGTTCTGTTTCTACCAAACTAAATGATAAAACAAATCTTGTCACATCATTCACTTTATCTGAAGACGTGAGAAAAGTGGAACCACCAGTTATTTAAGGGAACACGGAGGAGATACGCTTATTTAAACACGCAGCATGTTTTACTGCATCAGTTGCTTTATTAATTTCCTCCAGTCATCAAAAGAAATGAAGTTGTCCAAACCTACTACATACATACAAATGGCCATGTGGTAGCTGTCAACCATTCATGACATCATTGAACAGTTCTCTGTGGTTAGGGGGTGGGGGGGGGGGGGGGTTCTTTCACTGTGGAAGAAAGTGCAGGCAGGCAGGACGCCACCGTTCAGGAACAGAACCAATTTAAGCAACATTTACACAAGAATTGTTTAGATTTTGTACAACAAATTTCCATTTTTTAATTCAAAGCCACCAAACTAGCTTCATGTAAATCTGCTTGTGTGAGGAGGAACATCAAAAATAAAACTACATTTCTTGCATAGTTTTCTTCTGAAGGCACTTGATAAACATCTAAACTGAGTCATCTGGTCCTGAAGGATCCACGTTGATCTCATTACACACACTTGAATCATCTCTGAAAGGCTAATTATTGGATGTTGACTCAAACACAGATCCATTCAGTTGGCTTGGTGGTGACACAAAGGTCCTGGCCAGAAATTGTGCATAATCAGACATTCAGTTGTCATGCTGTAACCATTAATGTGCATCTGACTTGGCTTAAGCAAGTGAGAAGGCGATGTGATTCAGAATCAAAGGAAGAGTTTGCATAAAAATGTTATTGAGGCAACAAAAGGAGCTCAAATGCACAAACCCAGAGTGTCCAATCGTCAGTCGTTCATCCTACAATCATGTTTTGTGTTGTTTTCAGGTTCTGTTAACAGGCCGAAGTCAAGTAGGAAGGGGTGTTTGGGGCGCCTGCTGAGGCCGCCTCCACTAACCCAACTGGTCCTCGTACTGCTTACGAAAGCAGTCTCCTGCGGGGAAGAAGTCCCAGCACCTCTCCTGGTACATCTTCCAAACATAGGACTCCTGCATGGGGAAGGAGACACCGGCTGGTTAAAGGTACACCTTTCTATTCAAGTTCTCGTGTAAGTTAGACATAACAGGACTCTACAGCAGTGGTCCGCAAATGGCCGCCCGCGGGCCACATCCGGCCCGCGAGCCCTCTCTTTGTGGCCCCCAAACCCCGTGCGCACCCCCCACCCCCACTGGCCGACCGGGAGGTGTAGGATAGATAAAGCTGAGGAAAATAATCAAATAATCATTGCATGAGATGCGGGCATAAACGATTCTGCATCATAGAAGAGGACCATAATCATATATGGTGGAATGTATGTAGCTTTATTATTTTAACGGCGGCACCAGCGCAGCATCCACATCTGTCAGAGCGGTGTTCTCCACATTTACCGGGTAGGAAACTTTGGTCCACCTTTATGTGGTACTGCAGGGCTGAGCGCTGGAGTTGTAACCTGAGACCGAACCCAATCAGCCCAATCGGTTCTGTTGGATTTGGGCCATGAATTATGTTAATTGTGAGTGGCCCTCAGACCATTATAATTGAGAACCCCTGCTCTACAGGCTTCATCGTTAAATGCAATTCCTTGCAGGAAGCTTGTAAAACCTATCCTGGCTGTCAGATTCTGGTGTGAAGAAACAGGTTTATTTTTGAATTTAACATTTGAGTCATGTTTCTTTTTACTAATTTAAAGAAGCTTTTAGGATGGGAGCAAGTTTAAACAGGAAGTAAAATTTTACCAGGAATATTCTGATTGTGAGTCATTAGCATGGGGAGGAGGGGAAACAAACAATTCAACCCTCTTTGATTAATGTAAAGCACGCTGGTTTATTTATTTAATTAAATATCTCCATATTTTCAGTTTCAGTGACAGTTTCTGAAAAAAATGATTACAGGAAACGTCTTGTTTCATTTTGGTCTGTTTGACTTTGTTGTAGCTGAAGAAATCCAGAGGTTTGTTTAAGGGAACAAGAATCAAGTATGCAGCTGAACACTTTACTCATGACCGTCCAAACTGCAAGCATCAGCTGTAAAACCCTTTTTCTGATTTGTAATTTTCAGTGGTTCAACATTTTCATCCACATCATTTTCACTGAACCTCTGGATTTCTGCAACTACAACACAAAACAGTTGAAGATGCTTTTCTTAGGTAGTTTTCTTCATGAACTGCTGGTGAAAACACATCTTTAACCCAATAAACATATCTGATTATTGTAAAGAATGTGATTAATGTTGCTGTATATTTTAAATGGTTTGAACAGATTTATTCCCATTCCTCCCAGTGCTATTAATGCGATACCAACATGTCTGCTCCATTATAAGGTGTTGAGGGTCTGCCCTCATGAGAAATTGCTGCAGTAATTTCTCATGAGGGTCTGCCCTCATGAGAAATTGCTGCAGTAATTTCTCCAAAAGACTGTTATCTGCGCTCTGAAGAGCATATTAAAAGTCAGCGCCAGCTACAACTTCATTTCCCATGATTCCTTGAGCCGGAAGCAATGTGATGACGTCACCGCCGAACCCCGGAAACACGTTCTGCGCATGTGCGGGAGCCACACAGTCTCAGCCCGCCAGCCACTGAAGCTATAAATTCTAGCGAAACGAAACCTAACTCCATCTTTTGTTCAGTCAACTGGCTTGAAGACGCTCGTTGCTGCCGCTCCGCACAACATGAGCACACGGGAGGCCTGGCTGCTGAAGTGGATCGAACACAGAACCGCTGAAAAGCAGTGGAAACCCATCAGATCTGCTCTCCTGGTGCTGATGTGTGAGAAATTGCTCGCTGCCACGATTCCGGACGTGTGAGGACACAGAACCGCTGGAAAGCAACGGAATCACCATCTAATCAGTACGAAGAACAAAGGGACGCTTTGGTTCGCTAACGCAAGAGTTTGATTTTTATTTTATTTTTCTCTCTCTCTCTTCTTCTCTCTTGTCTCTTCCAGTTTTCTCTCCTTCGTACCAAAAACGCCATAGGAACAACTGAAGTAAGATCTTTTCTTTCATTTTAATATCTTAAATAGTTTTTATGCTGTGGCCAGGCTGACAAACTATCAGATATTCATTTATGATTGATCTTTTGTGTTGTTTCTTGATCTTTTTGAAGTGTTTTGAGTGAATTAAGTTTTAAGTTACTGTGATTGAAAGTGCTTCGGAAGTTTAAAGTGCAAGTTGCCCAACCACCCACACACCAACCCACCCACCCACCCACCCACCCACCCACCCACCCACCCACACACACACACACACACACACACACACACACACACACACACACACACACACACACACACACACACACACACACACACACACACACACACACACACACACATTCTGGTTTTCCCTGTTTAGGGGGACACACACATACTTGTTTTTAGTGTTTGGGGGGACTCAAGCTAAAACACACACTTATTGGGTCAGATTGTTTTACATTATTATTTCATTGTTTAATTACTTGTTATTCATTTGATAAAATCAGTTGGTTGATATTGATTAACACTTCAGAAGGAGCTGAAGTGAAAAGATTAATTCAGTTAATAAATGTTATTCAATTAAGTTTTGTCTTCAAGTGGATTTGTTTGTGATATAAAATTCAACAGCAGCTCGTTAGGATTCACGGAACGTTTAGACGAGACTGATAAGAATTTTGGATTCATTTCCCTTTCTAATTAGAATGGGTGGTGCCCCGTAGATATCCCCGGATATCCTAATTAATTAATAAATCTGTAAATATTTACGAATTTATTGAAGAATCCAAAAAGTAAGTAAAAGCTTACAAATTATTCGTTGACCTATGACCCCAACAAAGGTGAACTTTGTTGTTCATGTAGATATTTTATTCTGAGGTGAATTATACCAACCGGCCTGACAATTTCTGCTTTATGCATCTAAAGATAAATATTTGTTTACACAAATAGTAAAATTAGCCTTTTTATTTTATTTTATTTTTTTTACAGATAAATAGCAAAAACCACAAGTGAGACTTCCACCTGGTGAGTATCTTATCAATCACAGCAGCTGGGTTTGGCTGTCAGGGAGGTGTTTTTCTGAGCTGCAGGTCCTGGAAGTGTCATAAACCTTAGAGATGGCGGAGAGTGACAGCACTTCTGCTGCTCAGGTGGGCGTTACTTTATGGTTTAGTGAAGCAACCAAAGTTTTTGTATTATTTCCTTTGATTTTCTCTCTTTTACCCTGAAAAGTGCTGTCCATCTTGAAGATGCAAAAAAAATGTCAACCTGACAGCCAAACCCTGACAATTACATTTGTGATTGACAAGACACTGGCCAATCAGATGAGAGGCAGAAATATTCAGCCAAAATTTGTGCTTGGAAGTCATGCACGGGTAAGTCTCACATGTGGCTTTTCGCCTTGTAAAAACACCTAATTTCATAACTTGTTATTTTTACAGATACAAGTTTCTTATCTGTGGATGCACAAAACTTACTCCACAACTACAAAGAACAGGCTTAGAAGCTAATAAAGTCCACAAAAACATGTGCTGCCACGTACCTGACCCGTGTGTTCGGTCTCGTCCTTGTTGATCAGGTACATCAGGAAGAACCTTCAGACAGGAAAGGTGTGAGTTAGCAGAAATCTCCTCACAACAAAGCAGATCTGCTGCTGCACTCACAGGTAGTTGGCCAGGTTGTGCTCTTGTAAGGTGTGTGTTTCAAACCCGTGAGGCGTTCGATCAAAGTAGTCATTCCCAATGCCACAGATGAAGCATTTGGTCTGAAACAAGGGCGATTTCTGAATCTGTGGTCCTTATCATTCATCATCAGATAAACAAGACACGAGTCTTACCTCCATGTCCTCCTTCACCTGCTCCTGCTGGTCTCTCAGCTCACCAAAAGCATCGATGATCAAACCTGCATCAGAAAAACAAATGAACCTGATTAACCTGAAAGGACCAATGAGAAGTCCTGATGGACGTACCCTGAATGATGGCCAGCAGGATGACGATGACGAAGAAGAAGAAGGTGATGTCAAACAGGATGCGGTAGAGTTCATATGGATCTCCGGCCGGGTCCTCCAGCTCGTCTCCGATGCCTCCTCCCGCTCTCACGCCCACGTACATGTGGAACAAGTAGCACTGCGGGGAAAGAAAGCGCCAGTCGTACTTTATTATCTGCTAACAGAAACTCCGATGTTATTTTCATCCTGCTGCTGAAATAAAACATCTGTCAGCGACTCTTGAGTTTTACTTTTATGTGAAGAAGTGATGATGATCAGATTTTTTATCTCAGGATGATGAAACAGGAAGTAAATGTTAGTGGTGGTCGCATCCCATCAAGGCCGTTACGTCCATCCTGATGAAAAGCTGCAGGAATCCTTTTCATCTCTAAATATTTTCACCAACTGAGGTCGTTTTTGTTAAAAGGTGATCAGACGTACCGTCATCATATCGTCACACTTCATGTCGGGCTCGTCTTCATCCTCGCTCTTGTTGTAGAACTTCCTGAAGAAGTTGAAGGCCACCACAGTGTAGAGGTAGACGACCACAGCCAGCAGACCCACGGTCAGCACCAGCTGAAGGACACCGTTCAGACATTTCGTTAGTGAATTCAGCATAAAAGCAACGTCACAGCAGCTTCTCTTGTCTGGATGAGGAATCTGAAGCCGAGTCTTGGTTTGATGCATCAGTGTGTTTACTCAAAGATCAAAAAGCGGAGCTTTTTATTCACGTTCAGGCTTTAAGGATCTGCAGCCGTGCAGAAAATAACATTAAAGGTTTCGCTTTTAGCTAGCTCGACTGATTTAGACACATTCTTGTTTTTCTAATGTGACCCTCAGTCTGATCTACACACGGGTTTCAAATCTTTTGTTTTTAGAATAATTAGCAAAGACTTTATTTAACCAGAAGTTTCCCATTGAGATTAAAAACCTCATTTTCAAAGTTTTCTGTATTCATTTCATTTAGCATAAATCAAACTTGTTAAAGTCTGGAGTGGTGCCCTCACAGCATGATCTTATTTTGGGTTTTTCAGAAGTTTAAAGTCGTTTACTTATTCTGGACTCTGGCTCCCTCTGCTGGTAGAAGGACTCACCTGCTTGCCGTTGTGAGTGACAGACGACAGGATGGTGCGAAGGGTCTTGAAGCCCATAGCGATGTCCAGAAGATGGGCAGCAAAGAAGAAGTTGTTGAAGTGTCCAAAAATGGACATGGTGGTGTACCAGATCAGATACAGGAAGGACTGCAGGAGGGAACAGAACTCTTACTGAGGTCAAAGGTCTCACAGTGACCTTCTAAACCTTCTGTACAGCTTTCTAAGTTTAAGTCAAAGGAACTCACGTTATCGGTCAGAACAACTCCCATTTTCCAGATGTGGTACTTGGTGTCAATGGAGCTCAACCTAGACCAAAACAAAAGGTTTAAGCATAAATCACTGAATAAAGTTGTTTTTATTTGTAAATTAACAATATTAGCAGATATTTGCTTCTGGCTTTAGGAATAATAATTCATTCGTGCATCAGATAAAATTGACCTAGTTAAGCCTGATTCATGCTTCTCCGTCAGCTCCGCAGGGGACAGACACGCACGGATTGACGGAAGCGTTTTGCTCTCATACTTCTCCGTCTCCTGGAGAGTGTTGCAAAGCAATTCGCCAGCAGGACAACAGAGGGCGTAGCACTGTTCTGTGGTATCCTGTCATGTATCGGTCCAAGATAGTGTGTTTATATTGTGTTTTTTTGTATATAAGAGACTTTTTAACACAAACAAATTTGTCTCTCATCCTCCACCTCTTCATGCGCCCGCCACCTCTAAACCCACGTTTCCTGTCATTTCCGTCCACAAATAAAACGCTTGCTGCATATCTTTTCACTCCTCCAGTCACGGGGAATTAAACATTCATGTTTTTAGAGTCTTTTTCGCGAGGTATTCTTCAAGCTGCTCCGTGTCTGCCGCTAGTTATTCTCAGCTCTCTTTAGGTTTTTGAGGGCGCAATGCCAGTGGTGTAGACGACAGCGGCGTCCTGACCAATCACAAGCTTGCGTTGTCCGTCTCGACTGACGGATGTTTAGAAAAGAGAGCTCAACTCCGTCCGTCCTTGCGGAGCTCTCCAGCAGGCCCGCAAGGATGGATAATGGCGCTGCGTGTCTCCGCACTGACACAGACGGAGAAGCATGAATCAGGCTTAAGAAACATCAATGCATCAGCTTTTTTGGAGCGGAGATTTGTCACAACTGATTTACTGACCCTATGCTGACATCTTTTATTTTGAAAAGACACTGTCCTGTTTTGTTCAATCCCCCCCCAAAAAAACGCTTGTGCAGACATTCTAAGGCTGGGGTGAAGTTCTCACCAGGAAAGCAAAGAAGCTTCCTTCTCCACGGTCTCCACTGTGGGGTCAAAGTCCAGAGCGCTTTTATCCAGACCTAAAAGCTCAGCGATGCGTTCAGCTCCGTACATGTCGCCGTATTTGTTGATCACCTACATGTGCAGAGGAAGCACGGTGTCTATCAGCAGCTCAAAGACACAAGTCCCACTACCAATCAAATTTCTTGAAAGTCTTCACACCAACCTTGCGCTTGACGAACTTGTCCCAGTAATTGTTCGGGAAGGATCTGGAACCCAGTAAGAGCCCAGGTGTAACTTCAGTGGTTGTAAATTCAGTAAAACTAGAAGATGTCGGTGACTCACGGCGTGTTGATGACGAGTCGATCCCACTGGCCTTTGATATCATCATCAGACGGCTGCTCAGTGATGTACAAACCATCAAACTCAAGCTTCCTGGCTATCTCCTTCTCCCTCTTGAAGACCACCAAAGGAACCTGAAGGAACACAAATCTAACTTAAGTGAAGCACAAGGAAGGGCACCATCCTGAGATGCGTTCAGCGGGTTTACCTTTAGATAGTAGTATCCGACCAAGCAGAGGAGCGAGATGACCGTGTGGAAAACAGCCAGGAAACGCAGCGTTGGTAGCATGTATCCAGTGCTCTCTTGAAGCACAAACTCGTCCATGTCAAACAGCGTGTTCTCACCGTCATCCTCCTCATCTCCTTCCCAGCGGTCGTCTTCGTCAACTTCTTCTTCAGTCTCACCAGTGACCTAAAAAGCAAACATCAGGTTGAGACCACTGCATCTCTACTACAGCCTCATCGGTCTAAAGGACTTTGGTGCGGATGTCTTATGGATAATTCGACGTTGAAGTTATTCTGGGATAGTTAAAAAGGGAAGAGACGTTCTCCTGCAACCTTTCTAATCAAGTCGCACCAAACCGAGGCCTGCAGCGTCTCAGATGCAGAATTTTGTTTATTTTTGTATTCTCTGAGCATTGTTGTCTGATCTTGAGGTAAATTTACAAGATTATTATAATTGTTTTCCATTTGTGAATTATCTTTCAACGCCAAGTTGGAAATAGCATTTCAACAGTTCTGAGGGAGCAGAAATTGCTGTTCCATGACCTTTGCCCTTGTATAAACACACACTGGTACGCTCCGGACCAGAAAGGTTCCCAACCTCAGGCCTTCATTACCAGTTAAAGCAGGAGTGTGCTGTATACGATGGCACCATCTAGAGACTGACACATGTATTGCACCATAAGCTGTTCTCACCAGATTTACTATTTTTATTCACAGCTTATCTGATTTGTCAGTTTTTCTCATATATAGATTTAGATTTACTTGTCTATGAAAAACGTTGCCAACTCTGCCTCTGTCTAGGTTTGTCCTGTGACATCTGTGCTTAACGCTAACGCTGAAAGACCGTCTTTTCACACAAAACCTAAAATAGCAGTTGCCGCTGTTTGGAAATGAGCACTATTTTGGCATCAAAATGTGTCTTTAAAACTCAGACATCGTTTGTGGAAACCATGGCACATATCAAATGGGATCAGAAAAGAACTTTTATTGGCGGTTGTGGACCCATAGCTCAGAAGTAGGTGGGCGTGGCTTGCCCTATATCTCGGTAAATGGTAAGACTATCACTTTTATGGATTTATTAAACAAATCATACAGACTTCCTGAAAGGAGAGGAAACTCCAGATTGTAGCTTTAATCGTATCAGATCAGCTGTAGCTGGATTAAATCTTACTGAAGCAGCAGGGCACGTTTGAAGCCATAACAACTACGATGGCGTGTTACCTTGTAAAAGAGCAGGATGAAGTTGATGGCGAAGCACACAAACAGGGCAAGGAAACGGAGGTTGTAGAAGTTACGAGCCAGGTAGTTCTGTAAGGAACAGTTTTAGATTAATGGAACTTGCTGCTCTAGAATGAACATTTCAGTGAGACATAAATGATTCTTGAGCTACTCTGAGACACCAGAATTAGTCTCAGTGGCTCACCAGCATCTTGGTCGTGTAAACATCAAGAACAGCAAAGATGGACGACATGAAGGCAGGCGACGCCTCTTTAGGGTGACTTGATTTGGTTATAGGTTTCTCCTCGGCGACGGGCTCTTTAGCCTCCTCCTCCTTTGGTTTGTCCTCCTTCTCCTTGGTCTCTGTGCTGTTGTAGAGATATTAGTTGATTTTAAGTGCGATTTCACTGATTACTACTTCAAAATATGTTTGATGTTGCTCACTCTGCCTTTTCTGGTTCACTCTCTGGGGTTTCCACAGGCTTGGCTGCAGCTTTCTGCAACACATTTTCATGAAAAGACAACATATTGGACTGGAAGAGATAAAGAACCATAAACACAACATCAGAACGAGTCAATCAGACCTTCTTTTGATCTGTGGAGGATTCTCCCGACAGCTCAGAAACATCACCCAGTCCAGGCTCCACATGCTTTCCTCCTTCCTTTTTGGGCGCCGTCAGCATCTCCAGCATTACGTCCATATCTGTCCCGTCCCCTGGCGGTGTCGTAGTTTTGTCCAAGCTTCCGGACGACTCTATAGCCTCCACCTTGTCTTCTCCTGCAACATCTCCATGGATGCCAAACTGAGTGGGGTCGGGCATGTTTCCAAGGATGTCGGTCACTTTCATGTTCTTGGCTCCCTCAACAAGCCCCCCTCCGAACATGGAGGACCAGATGAGGTGGAAGAAACCGAAGATGAGACCAAAGATCCCCTTAAAGAAGCCAATGAAGAGCATCCAGAAGAAGGAGAAGAAGCCCGTGATCAGCTCCCTGATGCTCAGCTTCTTAACTTTTTTGAACTGCTTACGTATGTTTTTAACAGCAAAAATCTGCCGGATGTCTGAAATCTTCTTCTTGACTGAGCGACAAGCAGTGGTGAAAGCCGAGGCTGACTCCAGGGCATCCTCTTCTCCCCCAGAAAGCTCCTCAAGGATGCTGTGTGCTTCCTCTTCCTCCTCCTCTTCAGGTTGTTCTACAACGTCTGGCTCAGAGATCTGTGAGGCCAGCTGCATCTCAAAAATGGTGTCCTCACAGAAGTTCACAAACATCTCCATCTTTTCGCTCTCTCCGCCCTCGTTCACCACATCAAAGATGAACTGACGCTTGGATTCTTTAACCTGCGGCTTTTCCCACTGCTCTCGGCTCGACTCACTGATCTCAAAGTAAACCCTCTCGATGCGCTTTGCACTGCCCAAGATTTCGATACGACCCAGGTAAGGCTCAAAGTAGCTAAGCACGCTTTCTGCCAGGTCCAAGAAGGTGGCGAGTCGAGAGTCGTGCGGCATGTGTTCAGACAGGTTGGTGAGCAGCACTGCCACGTTGAAGCCGATGTCTTTGGCTGGCTCGTGGAATCGCTCCACAAACTCTTTGTAGTTGAACATGTCGTTCTCATCGGCTTCTGCACACGAGAGCAGGAACTCGATCTCCGACTGGCTGTACTGTTTCTGGCTCTCCATCGACTTCTGGAACTCCTTCTTAGAAATAATGCCCTTACACTCTGGGTCGTACTCCTTGAAGTTGTCAGATGTTGTGAGATCCTTTAGCTTGAGGAACATGTCAAAGAACTTGAGGATCATCTCCACATTGCTGGATGACTCCACCAGCGTGTCGACCATTTGCTTTCCAATTGTTCCATTCACAACGTTACCTGAGGCAAAAACGAAACCAAAAAAAAAGGTTTTTTTCCTTTTGACAGCTTTAGGATGATGTTACTTTTATAATCCTCATGCCAGAATATTAATGAATTCATGAGTTTCCAAATACTTCAACATGTTTGTAAATATTAAACACTTTGAGACCAAATTTAAAGAAGAAAATCTTCACAACAGCAATTTCAGCACATTCCTCATGTGACCTTCCATTTAGAGTTGCAAAAGTGTCATAAATGCTCATTTAGAGTAAGTACTGTGTGCCTTTTCTTGCGATTTAGTTTCTCTGACTATCCATCCATCCATTATTCTCCACTTATCAAGCGTCGGGTCTCGGGGGCTGCAGCCTAAACAGGGAGGCGTAGCCTTCCCTCTCTCCAGCCACATGGGCCAGCTCCTCCGGGGAATCCCAAGGCGTTCCCTGACCAGCTGAGAAACATCGTCCTTCCAGTGTGTCCTGGGTCTTCCTTTAGGTCACCTCCCGGTTGGGCATGCCTTGAAAACCTCACCAGGGAGGCATCCAGGAGGCATCCTAACTAGATGCCCGAGCCACCTCAACTGGCTCCTCTCAATGTGGAGGAGCAGCAGATCTACTCCGAGCCCCTCCTGGATGAATGATCTTCTCACCCTATCTCTAAGGGAGAGCCCAGCCACCCTGCGGAGAAAACTCATTTCGGCCGCTTGTATCCGTGATCTTGTTCTTTCAGTCACTACCTAAAGCTCGTGACCATAGGTGAGGGTAGGAACGTAGATCAACTGGTAAATCAAGAGCCAGAAGGCAAAGCTCTTTCTTCACAACAACAGACTGGTGCAACGCCCACATCGCTGCAGACGCAGCACTAGTCTTGTCTACCAATCACCCGTGCTCCATCTTTCCCTCGCTCGTGAACAAGACCCCAAGACACTTAAAACTCCTCCATTAGAGACAAGACCTGGTCCCTGACCTGGCGAAGTCATTCTACCCTCTTCTGACTAAAGACCATGGTCTCAGATTCAGAGGAGCCTGTTCTCATCCCAGCCGCCAACCTTCTGGCTGGTTTGTAACAATCACAGCTCGGTAAAAGACAAACTTGATGGTTTTACAGTGTCTTAGTCTCACCCTCCAGTAGAGACAATAACATGACCACCATGTCCTTCTGTAAGTCCATCAGCTCCTTTAGCAACTCAATTTGACTGGCATCCTATAAGTAAGAAAGAAATAAACAGAAGTTGAAGAATTTTGTTTACGTAGCTGGTCGGGCAGTGACATAGGTGTTAAGTTTTACAGAAATGGTCTGGGTTAGGGTTAGGACCCTGCTTATTCATACCAACATCTTTATTTAGCTGACACTTCACTGTGCAATGAGATAAAGCTTGCATTCTGTTTTATTGTGAACAAATATAAACATCTTGGTTTAATATACCTGTGATAGCTTCATCTGCATGTTTGCAAACACATGCAAGAAGCCCACAACCGCATCCCACAGTCTGCTATGAGCTAAACTCTGCTGGTTTCCAATGCAAGGCCCCTGCAGACCAGAGAAGGGACAGACTAAAGCATATGGAGATGTTTGCTGAAACAAAAAGTTCATCTTAATTCTGAGATCTCATCTCCTTCCTACCTGAATGTACTCAGTCAGCGAGTTGAATATCTGCTTGGCAACAGATAACGCCTTGGAGAAGTTAAGTTTCCCAGTTTCATCAATTACATCTTTTCCAGAGTAGTACCAGTAGAAATCGCTGATAGATTCCTAAATGGGAGGGCAGTAATGGTTATAAGGATAGTGATGATGGAGATGGGACAGTGTTTGTGTTTTACTCACCTGCAGACGCAACAGGTAGTCAACAGTGCTGATGATGATGTTGACCGTTGTTGTGTTTCCTGTTTGGGTTCTCAGGAAGTTCTGGAAATCTGATGCAAAAACAAAAACGATGCATTACAGCAGCCAAATACCCACATGGGGTTATTACTAAAACATCCTCCTCACCTCCATTGTGGCCCTCACAGAGAAGTTGTAAGAACCGGAACAGATCTCTGGTAAACTCGTCATTCTGCAGCACCTTTGAGCCTTGCAAAAACACATATCTGGTGAATATATTTGCATCTCCACCAAAAGGAGTATTCAATTACTCAAATAGGTAAAAAATTCCCCAAAAGCCATTATTATTGGGCAAGCAGGGCATTTTGAAACCCAGGACCTTTAGATTGCAGATTGAAAACAATCCAAAGTGCCAAAAATAACTAAAAAATGCTGATAGAATAATCAGCGAAACACTCAGACATTTCCATAAGCTGGGAGGAAACCTGATAACTTTCACATGCAGGCCACAAGTGAGCCCGACGAAAGTTACGAAAGCGGCAAACAGTCGTGTTTGTAAGGAAAATTAACCAACTAGTCCAGTCAACAGAGGCGTGGAAAATTTGATGGATTCCAAATCTGTAAGCTCGTGAAACCATGTGAAAGTTAGAACTCTGTATCACGACCAGCTTTGTGAAATGGACCTCAAATCCAGAGCAAGACAAAGCTTTGCTTGAGCTGCGGAAGAGTCCACAGACCTTTAGTCAAACCCGGTCGGGGGGGGGGGCACGGGTAGCTGTAGATCTCTGAGCATCAGTAACAGGATTCACATTAGTACATGTTAACAGGATGTGTCAAGCGATGGATTGTAATGGTTGACTGTGTGCGTGTGTGGTGTGCAACATCAGCATGCAGTGTCCCTGCAGACATCTGGAGCACAACGGGTGGGTGTGGGGGGGGGGGGGGGGGGGGTGTTCAACATAAAGCAGGAGGTGTGAACCACAGATATGAAGGCGACATTCAGGGTGGAAGCATAGCCATATCACCATGATCTAAGTTTGCTATTTACCCCGCTGAGAGTGGACTGCCATCGATGTTTTTTTTAAATGACAGGAAGGAGACAAACAGAACACGAAGACATAAGCAAAAAGAGAGGACACGGAGTTATAATACCAAGAGATATGAAAACATCAGCTAAGAGTGGGAAAACAAAAACATGCAGTTAAACAATGAAAAAAGTTAAAGACGAGCGGAACTCATAGGTCAGGTTATCCGTGTCGCGTCTAACAGTCAGGGTGAAAGGTTACCAAGACAACGGGACTAATGGTGAACTGTTACGTGAAAAACTGGATGATGGAAAGACAAACAAAGTTTGATGTGAGAAGCATTTACGTGTTGGACATTAGAGCGAAGGAATTAAACATTAGTTTCTACGACTAATCCCTCAAGATCATCCAAATTCAGATAAATAGAACATGCTCCTGCTTTTAGGAGAATTAAAAAGATGGTAAAGATGCCACACGAGCACCTTCAGAGACCTCGGGACAAGCTGCAGCTATATTTATGATTCATAGAAAGACAGCAAAAAGATTGCTTTTTGTTTCCACCCTTTGTCATAAATCTGTATCCACTAGTTGGTTCAAAGGCAGATTTTATCCCAGAAGCTCCACATAAACATCTCATCACTTACTTGAGCCTTCCTCTGTCACCATGCCAAGTCCTTCTGCTTTGTTTTGCCTCTCAAATGCATTCAAGTCCAGGACACTGCAAGAGGAACCTCTCAAATTAGCGTCACATATCTGTTTGAAGTAGCCAGAATAGTGAAGACCAACCTGCATGACTGCATCAGTCCTGAGAGACTCTTGAAGAAGCCTGCATCTCTTTTTTCTTTCAGGTAATCCAGCATTTTCTGTGAAGAGAGATGATAACGTTAGTCGTCGTATCTGGCGGGTAAACCCGATGGATGAACCAGAAGGAGAATCACCTGCTGAACTTGCACATTGCCTCCATTTAGGATGGAGATGCCCAGTTTGAGAGTGCAGGTCACCATGGGACCCAGACGACCTGAAGGAGCGCGTTAGAGTTTGTGATGAGGAAAGAGTTTAAAGAGGAGGATCAATCAGAGAAATTAAATAATTGATCAACAAACCTGCTAAAAAAGAAACATTTAAAGATGATTTATGGGACATTAGGACAGCCACAAGGGATCACCTGTCGTCTTTCACGCCAGAGTTTTAAACCAAGTCTCATGTTTAGAAACTATGCTAGATGTAGACGTTAAGTCAAATCTAGCAAACAAAAGATGTCATTAATGTATGAGTCTCATTTTAGCTCAGTATCTGTAAAAGCTGTTCTAAATCAGCTGTGTGAAAATGTTTCCCGATGAATCTGCAACAGAGAGCTTCGGGATGTGCGCGTGGCAAGCACTTACCCTGCTCTGGCAAAATAAAGTTGCCACCAAAAGGAAAGGTCACACATTGTGATTTCGTTGAGCTTCACCAGATGTATCTCCATCTATTGTTGCATTGATGATGGTTGAGTCTGACTGCTGCACAAAGCCTTCTCCAGCACATCCCAAAGATTCTCAGTGGGGTTAAGGTCTGGACTCTGGTGGCCAATCCATGTGTGAAAATGACGTCTCATGCTCCTTGAACCACTCTATCTGAGCCTGACAGCATTGTCATCTTGGAATACATCCGTGCCATCAGGGAGGATGGAATAACCTGGTCATTCAGGTAGTCAGCTGACCTCGTTCTTGGAGCACATCCTGTTGCTGAACCTAAACCTGACCGACTGCAGCAAGCCCAGATCATAGCACTGCCCCCACAGGCTTGTACACTAGGCATGACGGGTGCATCACTTCGTCTACCTGTCTTCATACCCTGATGCACTGTCCGACTGGACTCAGACCAGTTTCAATAATGTGTTGAACAGTTCTTAACCCAGTTTTAGTCGTTTCTACAATCTCCTTAGATGTTTTCTCTGCATGATGCCAATGATCTGACCCTTCTCACACAGAGTAACATCTTCTCAACGACCACCAGATGTGACTTTCCACATGGTTGTTTAAGAAATGAGAAGCAGCTCATTGCACCAGTTGGGTTAAATAACTTGTTGCAACTGAAAGATGATTTCCCTGCAGTAATTATCCAATAGGAGGCTCCTACCTGGCTGCTTAGCTAAATCCAGGTGGAGACTTTATTTTTTGGGCTGGGCAGTGTAAAAAACACATTTGGCAGGCTCGTTGTGTATTTTATGATTTTTTTTTTACCTTAATATCAATTCAATATCATTTTCAAAAGAACTCATCTAGCTGACAAGTCTGTTTTCTTCATTTACACTGGACTGTGTAATTTGAAGCAAACAGTATTGTGTTATTTTCCAGTATTTCTAAATGTGAATACATGGTTGTTACCTTTACTGGCGCTGATCATCTGCAGGACCATCTCAGCAGCCCCACGGGCGTGCAGTCTGGCCTGCTGATACAGGATCTTCTGCTTTTCCATCTCCTTTTCCTGAATGTCAAACAAACACGTTCAGTGGTTCACAAACGATCCGAAAACAAACGCCATCAGCTGTACGATCGGAAGCACCTCAAATGTTTTTTCTTTCCCCTCTTCTTCTTCTTCCTCCTCGTCCTCTGCACAGCTCTGATGAAATAAAAACACAGCTTAAATATTTGGACTCCTCAAAAGCGGGAAGACAAATCTTTCACAATACCTTTGCCATCATGTCTGCATACGCGATATACAAAGGATCGACTTCCAAGTGACTGAAAAGCAACCAAACATTCTTAATGTTTTTTTCTACCATCCATCATGAAAAATGCAGAAATGCTGAGTCACCTTCTCTCCGTCAGAGCGTTGTGGCTAAAGTGAAGGATGAGTTGGTGAAGAGGGTCAGGCCGGACCTCAGCCGTCTCCTCTTCATCTTCCTCCACAATCTTCATCGGGGTTTTCTGCAGAGGACGACATCTCTGCTCACACACTCTTTTCACCCAACCCGTCTGGTCCTGAATAATCGTTCTAACTGCACATTTGGTAACACTTGAACCCATAAACATGCAGATGGTTTATCTTATTACCCTGGTGGGTGGTGGAGACGACAGGACGAGGAAGTTAAATGATGGATTACCAGCATGCATGTTGCAGCAAGCAGGAAGCCATTTAGAGGAAAATGATAATCCAAAAGACGGACACTAGTAACTTCTACGAACTAAACCACACTGACTTCACCGACTGAAGGACAGGAAGTACTTTTGTCTTAGAAGCATAAGTCTGACACAATAAAGTAATAGGAGGTGTGATCTTCACAGGACTACATGAGCATTCCACTGACGATATGTCCACAGAACGTACTGTGACGCCACCTTCACACACTTACAGCGAAAAGACAACTGATGGGTCGGGTCCGGGTCTGACAGCCACACAGCTAAGAGTCCTACTGTAGTGAAATCCCTCCTTACCGCGGCTGTCAGAGCCACATCGCCTGCTTTTCTAACGCTGGCGCTGGCCCTGTGCCTCCTGAGTTGATCATGCAGCCTCTGAATCCTGACGGATCTCTGTCTGAAGGGTTTAGCATGCCTACAGCGGGGGCCCCTGGGTGCTCTGAGCGAGGTCCCTGCCCGGGCGCGCTCCCAGGGCTCAACGGGCGCCGAGCTGAAGAAGCATTCTGCAGACAGGACCGGCAGGGGGGTGCCAACGCAGGGCACTCGGTGCACGGGCAAAGCCAGCCCGGTACTTACTGCCAGATCCTGAACTAGCTTCTCCTCAAAGGAGTACTCCTCTGCCTCTATCCAAAGTCTCTCATAGGCTGGGATGAAGAAGTTGATAGCACGATGCCTGGGGAGGTGGGGGGATGAAGAGGAGATGGAGAGGGAGGTAAAGTGGCATTAGGGGTGGTTCTGGTGAGTTTTTGGAGCAGACAGGAAGGAGAGATGTCTAGGGAGGAAGGGGTTAAAGGTGCATGTCAGGCAGGGTGGTGATTGGTCAATGTGGGGCCCACTGGCTCTTCTGACTGGTCATAACTGGTTTATAGAAAAGCTGCTGGTGCTTCCGTCGAGGTGGGACTTTTATTAAAGGAGTTTCAGAGGGATGTGCACCACTGATTTTACCACATGGATCATTTTATTTGGTGGAATAATTCATAATATAATTTCTCTCTTAACAAACCTGCTGTATTAAATCATAGGTGCCCTGTGGTGGGGGATATAAGTACTACAGGTGCAAGTGCCAATCAGAATAATACAATGAAAAGCTCTAAATAAAATAGGAATCAAATATAAATTAGGAAAACTACAACTTTTATCAAGACGTTTCATAAAAATACAAGAAATTTTTTGAGTTGTTTTGATTATTTAATACTTCAGTTTGTCTTCACAACTTTCTTTACCAGCTGAATAGAAACTAATTATATTTAATTTATTTACGAACTCAGACTCATTCTGGCTGACCAATCAGAATCAACAGTGCAGAGACGGTTGCTAGGCAGAAATTGGTCCGCAGCCCAGCAGATGAAAGTGGTGAGGTTGAGTTTAGGAAGCGGTCGCCTCGTGGCGTCACTTTACCGTCAGCAGGGAGAACAGGCGGTCAAAGCTGGAGGCTTTGAACGCCCTTTCCAACCAAACCTCCCGATAGCCATTCAGGAAGTAATTATTATTTTTGTATCTGACGGTGGGCGAGGGGTGTTAAACCAGAAAACAACACAGAGGAGAGAGAACGTCAGTAAGGAGGGGATGAAGGGGGTTACATGGAGGAACAAAAATCTACTAATCTCACTTGGTTAAGTTTACGGGACCAGGCTGTAATTTAAAATTGTTGTTTTACAACAGTACCAATGTTGAGTTCAATAACTGAGATGAAAGAAGATGTTCACCTGGGTAGATTGTAGAGAGGAGCCATGCGGAAACACGCCACCACGGCTCGTTTTCGCTGTTTGGACAGCAGCTTCTGAGCTACGCATTTCTTGTTCCTCAGAGGTTGTTCAACCTGGGATTTAACACACATAAAGGACATCTTACTCTTCTTCTACAGATTAAACCAACAAATGTTAACAAGAGTGAAGCATGAAGATTTAAAGCTTTAGGACAAACTACCAAAGAGGAAAACACCATCTGATGTCACGGACAACAATGTTTGAACTTAGGAAACGGTGACAGGTGTTTAGCACGCTCTCGTTTCCTCGGATATTGCAGCTTTGCGGTTCTGGTGGACCTGGAACCAGTGAAGATACCCGAGGGGAGGGGCCAGTGTTCCTAGTTTAAGGGGTTAAATTTACCTTTATTTAACGAACCATAAGACGTAAGATTCCATAGTAAATATGAAATCAATCTTATGGATCTTTGGGTACTTTTAACCAGAAGGTTGGAACTTTTTATTGCAGGGATTATGTAACACTTCGTATTAACTGAGAGACGAGAAGAGAGTCACCTTTAAAACGTTTAAGAAGATTTATTTCTAAACGATTTTAAACAAGACTAAATCTAAATTCTAGGTGAATGGATGGATATTGGTGTGAATGAGATGTGAGATGAATGGTGTATGTGTGAGTGATGTAATCAGAACTCGTATTCAGAGAAGCAAGTCTGAATGATGTTGTGATGTTTTGCTCTTAAGCTATGATCGGAGTTTCATAAACACATGAGACACCATTTTGTCGATCCACACATACCATTAGCATGAGACCTCCATACAGATCCAGAATGCCAGGTCCTCGTACCCCCCTTTCAGTACCGGAGCCGATGAAACAAGCGTCAGCAGTACGACAGACTAGTCTTTGGATTGTCTCCAGGTAAAAAGCAACAGTTGGATGACAGTGTCAAATGGACCCGGAGGGTCAGTGAGTTCAGCTTTTATTCTGAAAGGAACCGTTGCTTGGTTGGTAAAATGCAACAGATTTTATCCAGCTTGTTGGTTCTTTGCTTAAAAGGAAGTCCGGGTGGCCAGTCCGATACTTCGCTTACAATGCGGTGAACTGATCTAAGATGGCGTGGGGACTGGTTTTATTAATCTGGATGTTTTGATTTACGGTCGAATCAAAGTTGGCAGATTTATAAACACCACAGAGACTATGCCACGCTTCAGAACGGAAGGTTCAGAATGGATGAGTAAGCAATGTGTCATGCGTTTACATTACGTGGATCAAGATGTCTAGTGCAGCTAGATTACTTATTAAAACTTACTAATCATAACATTGCCATTTCACAGATTGGTCAACATCTTATTATTGACTAACACTTTGTTTGACTAGCTTTATTAAAAATAGAGTTCTTTGATTTATTAAAAAGAAAGAGTCCTTTGTCTTCATTCTTCTCTTGGTCTGGAAAGGAAAAGTTTTAGAAGCAAATGCATGACCTTGAGCGATATCTCATGCTGATTAGTTCTTGCTGAGGAAAGGGGGGAAATGACTTTTAGGTGGAAAACAGTCATTTCATTCCGTTACACTAGCTTGTTCTGTAGATTCGCTAAAGCAGCTTAAACCAACATCTGACCTTTGATGACCTCACTTGGTAGTTTTTGTTGGACATTTTTCACCGTTTAATTGAAATTGGAATCAGTCATCCACGCTTTCATCACCTCTCACTTGGACTATGCTAATGCATTATTAGTTGGAACTCCTGTCTCTGCTCTGAACTGGTTGCAGGTTGTCCAAAATGCTGCTGCTAGGTTTTTAACAAACACAAGCCAACATAGCCATATTACACCAGTCCTGGAAAGACTTCACTGGCTCCCCATCACTTTTCGTGTGCATTTTAAGATATGGATGTTTGTTTTTAAAGCCCTACACGACCTAGCTCCTCCTTATCTGTCCGACCTGATGACTCCCTATGTACCTACTTGTATGTTGAGGTCAGCTGACCGTCCACTGCTTTGCACTCCCCGGATGTCCTACAAATCACGAGGTGAACGTGCATTGGTCCATGCTGCCCCCATGCTCTGGAACTCACTGCCCATTACAGTTAGGCTGGCATCCTCTCTGCCTGTTTTTAAATCTCGTTTAAAAACCTACTTTTATGACTTGGCTTTTAGACAGTGATTCATGTTATCGTATTATGATTTTATAGTTTTTATTGTTGTGTTTTGTCTTCTTATTGTTTTTACTTTTTTTTTTTATTGATCCTGCCTGTTCAGCACTTTGGTCAGCTCTCACTCTGTGTCTTAAATCGTGCCATAGAAATAAGGTTGGTATGGTATGTTGGTAAATTCAGAACCCCCCCCCCCCCCCCAAAAATGAAGCTTTTCTACAAGAAGTTAAACATTATTAGCATGCATAAATAATACATTCATAAAATCACAAGATTGTGAACCTTAAAGACTCAAAATGATACAAAAAATTTTCAATTATTTGTCTTGGTCTGGATGTTCAAATGTTAAAGCAAATAAATTATTTGTATTTAATCAACCCTGACAGCTCCATTCTCATCAGTCTTGTTCATTTTTAATCAAAAACTGATGACAAATATGATGAATTTTAGAAAATAAGTGGTTTCTAGTGCAGTTCAGAACAAGAGATGAATCCAGATAAATGTTTTTATCTCTACAGCTGCAATAAGGTTTTGTAAGGATGCTGTCACCTGCTCCAGGTGGAAGACAGCAGCAGAGATGCTCTGGATTCTCTCCACCGTGTGTTCGGAGTCCACCGGTTCTCCACTCTTCACCACCACGTCTTTGTAAAGGTTCAGCTGCCAATAAACGGCCGGGTCTTCAGACTATAAACACAAAACAGATAAATGGAAGTTGGTGGTCTGGTTTCCTCTCGCTGCACGAATCGCTGAATGTTTTATTTTTATGTATTTAACAGACGCTTTTGTCCAAAGTGACTTACAAGTAATAATCGGCATGTTGCCCTTGAGGCTAAAAACAACAATAACAACAACAATAACAACAACAACAATAACAACAACTTGACATCAATCATGGAGAGGAGGGAACAAGGAGTGGACAGTAGAGAGGGGGGGGACGGGTGCAGGGAGGGTGCTAGTTTAGAAGATGCTCTCTGAAGAGCAGGGTCTTCAGGAGTTTCTTGAAAATTGAAAAGGAAGCCCCTGTTCTGGTAGTGCTTGGTAGGTCATTCCACATTTGTGGAACGATGGATGAGAAGAAGTCTGGATTGTCCTGAGCGTGGTGTAGGCAATGCTAGCCGACGATCCTGTGATGACCGGAGCGGCCGGGCCGAGACGTAAGCCTTTGCAAGAGGATTCAGGTAGATGGGAGCCGTACCATCTCGAACTTTGTATGTTAGTGTTAGCAATTTGACTTTGATGCGTGCTGCTAGCGGTAGCCAGTGGAGCTCAATGAACAGAGGGGTGACGTGTGCTCTTTTTGGCTGATTGAAGACCAGATGCGCCGCTGCGTTCTGGACCATTTGAAGAGGTCTCACAGTCCAGGCTGGAAGACCAGTTAGAAGGGCATTGCAGTAATCGAGGAGGGAGATGACAGTAGATTGCACCAGGAGCTGGGTGGCATGTTGTGTTAGGTATGGTCGGATCTTTCGTATGTTATACAGCGCAAAGCAGCATGAACGAGCAACAGAGGCAACATGATCTTTAAAGGTCAGGTGTTCATCAGTCACAACACCCAGATTTCGAACTGCCTTTGAAGGAGGTAGAGATAGGAAGTCATTTTGGATTGAGATATTGTGCTGTATGGATGGTTTTACCTTTTCCTGAAGGTGCAGATTTTGACGTAGATACTCAACCACCTCGTCGTCCGTGTCTTTCTGCAGGAAAAAGTGGAAATGATCTAATTTTTATGCCAAGTTCCCTGATATTTATGGAGGCTGAACTCCAACCATTTGGGCTCCATCTAGAAAGCAGCTCACCAGACTGTAGCGGATCTTAGCCAGAGAAATGAGCTCCTGGTCTCCGGGGGTGCACATGTTCAGACCGATGGGCAGCAGCTTCTTCAGGGCGGCTACGATCAGAGACGTCTGGATGGAGTAGTATTCACCACGGCGGCGCTTGTGTTTCCTCTCCTGATCTCCACCAGCCTATGAAAGCATCAGTAGGTTATAGAAAGACTTCTAATTTATAAAAGATCTTAGATGAGGTTGTGGTTGAGGACCTCTACCTTGGACATCTTCGACTTGCCTTCCCCGGTCAGGAAACCCAAGTTGTTGATCTCATTCTGAATCACAAAGTTTTGCTCCTCGCGCTTAAAGTTCTGCACCAGAGGAAAGAAAAGTGAAGAGATGGCTGCTGATCTGGGAAGATGTGAACAATTATGAGACTCACGTTAGACTTGCACCAGAGGATAAAGATCTCAGCCACCATCTTAAAAAGTTCAGTGGAGTCTGCGTCTGGCTCCTTCAGCCATCTGGACCTGGAGAGGACCGAGGACCGGCTCAGTTTTTTTTTCCTCAAAATAAAATGATGGATAACTAAAGGGATGCTTGGACTGAAACCTGTTGTTGTCCACATAGCGGATGAGCATGGGGTAGAAAGCATAGAGGTCCCTGCAGAGCACAGCAAACTCATCCAGGATGAGAAGCTCTGCCTCCTGGTTGTCACCTTTCCCATCGGCCTTCAGCAGCTCCTCCTCAGACACCACCTGTGATCAGAGACACGAACAATAAAAGAGAGAACGAGAGAACTTGTCAGTGGAAAACCACTATGTGCAGAACTTCACCTTCACCGTCTTCTTCTTTAGCTTCTCCAGAGTGGGCAGGAAGTGGGTTCGTAACAAGTCAGCTGCAGCTTTGCAGATGATTGGCTGAGAGTAGACTGGAAACAAAAAGCATGGAAGTTATTTATTTTTATTTATTTATTGAGAACCTCATTAGCTCACACCATAGTGTGGAGCTATTCTTCCTGAGGTCTCTTTCAATTTCATTACAAATATTTTACAAAACACCCCCATCCCCATCCCCACACACACACACACCCAACAACAACAAACTCCAGGAGCTCATTATAATCATACCACCTCAATTGCTATAATAATATACCAATAAGTTACCACACACTTCAGAGTTCATGAAAAATCTAAATAGGTAAAAACGGAGAGTTTACACAGAGCAATAAATAACTATATTCAAGAATCAAAAAATCATATCGCATCACATCCATAACAAACAAAAATTATAGAAGCTGTCATAAGTTAAACGTGAATAAACGATGGATCAGGTGGGAGTTACGTCGAAGGTTAGAAATATCTCAATTCTTCAGTCCTTTTGTCCTAAACTTAGAAATAAAAAAAGACTAGAAATGTGTGTAGCTTTAATTCTGGTTAATCGCTGATTTGAAGTCTAACTTGAAACAAGTTTGTAATGGCATACCCAGAACAGCGTTCTTACTGGCTCTCCTGTTTGGCAAGAATCACTAGAAGAGCCTCTGTAACCATGGTGACCGAATGCTGTAGACCTCAGTCACTCACTGGCTACGATTTCCAAAGTGGAGGGCTGAGCTGAGCCTTTAGAGATTTACCTGCAATCCTCTTCATCCACGGCGCGTCCTCTATGCCCAGGTTGTTGTTGAGGATCTTGAGAATGTTTCCCAGAATGATGCTGAGGTGTTCAGAGGTCACCATGGTGCAGCAGTTCGTGTCTGGAGGCGAGTTCTCTGGACCTTTCTCCCACCAGTAGGACAAGTAGTTACACAGCATGGGCAGGACGACCTCGATGACCTGCAGGACATGGAAACACAATCGCAGATCAGTTTTTTTGTGTCATTTGAAGTTTTGGATTGTGGACTCCCTTTCAGCCCGTCACACCTGCGGCATATCACAGTAACGGGCTCCGGACTCCGACACGTCGTTGACGTCTTTGAGCAGTTTGTCGAGGTGAGGCATCTCCGGACACATCTCCTCCACCGTGTCGGGCATACTCAGGACTGTAAGGGAAAACCATCGGTCAGGGTTGTCGGATCACAGCGTCAAGCGTTTAGACGAGAACCAGCTGGGCACTCACTGGCTCGCTCTCTCGGGGTCTTGGTGTTAAAGACTGAAAGCGGGTTGTAGGCGTTCAGCTGTGGCTCCAGGAACGCTACGGGCATGGCTGCCACAAGGGTCGCCAGACTCTCCCCCAAAGCTGGTAAATGTCTGATCAAACATGACGAATAAACACAATAAATACAGTAAACTCCTGTTTTAAGAGACCGGTATGCACAGCTTTTTATTTATTTGACTTGGTGCTCAATAATCTTTCCATTTCCTCCATCAGCTGATGTCTTTAGCATCTATTTTGTGTTTTCTCAGCCAGAACTTTCTTTCCATCACTAAAAATCTAAAAAATAAAAAAATGACAACAGAAACATATTTGTGCAAATAAAATTTCCTGAAATGAATCCAGAATTCAGCTTCCTAAACTTCTTGTTTTAAAATGTCTTAAAACACCAGAAAGCCGATGTACCCTGCAAGCTCTAGAGAGAATTACCCCTGCCCAATGATGTCACCCGTTTATGGTTAATTACCCTTTTTTCATCTCATTACCATGAAAAGTGCCCAATAAATTCACCACTTCACTAATATTTGTGCATGAATGAATCCATGCATTCCAAAGGATTTTGCAGCTAAAAGTAGAATTATTTCTCTTCTAGTTTTTAACTTTATTACAAAAGGATATTACCTCAAAAGCAAAATCCTCTTCCTCAAAACAGTGACACAAAAGCTGTAAATCTGAGCTGCTTTCCTCAAACCAGTTAAAACCCCTAACCAGGCATGTATGCTCCGACACTATGCAGATGATCTATTGCTGTTTAACTAAATAATTAATTAAAAAAGGGACAGCACACAATAATCTATTCTTGCAGGCTCATTTTCCAGCTGGACGCCGTACCTCTCCACAAAAACGTTCTTTCCTGTTCCCAGGGAGTAGAAACACATCAGAATCCTGTAGCAGGACAGCTGCATATCGTCCACTGAAACAGCAAATACAAGAACACCGAAACCTATTAGTGTTCTTAGGACGAGGGGCTTCAACAAGCTACAACTCCACATCTGCAGCAGCGAAGTTACCGAGCAGATCCACGTCAAACTCGTGTGTTGTGATGTGTTCAAACAGAGCGGTGAGGATCGGCAGCAGGGCCACCGTCACATAGTTGATGCTCTGAGTGACGCTCTTCATCTGAGCGCGCGACTGCATGAACTTCCCCAGCTTCAGCATCTCCACCAGCTTCTCCAGGTCCTCGGCTGCGTTCTCAAAGAAGGCCTTGAAGCCGACTTTGACCAGCTCAGCGCCAGACTTCATCACAGTTCTGGATCGAGCGAGAGACCAGTTTTAGCTGCAGGAACACAGCGAGCTCTGTGGCTGCTGGTGGTGAATGGAGTACCTTGTGTCGAGTGAGTGGGAGAGGATGTGCAGACAGCTCACCATCATCGCCGAATCACTTCCTGTAATCAAGACATTTTGTAATGCAGAAGCCAGATTTAAAGGCGAGACGATCGAAGAGATGGAGGCAAGGCCGGCCTTACCAAAGAGAGAAATTCTGTGTCTAACAAGAGCGGCCATCTTGCAGAACAGGCTGGAAAAACAAGGAGGAAGGAAGTAAAGACAGAACTGAGGAAAAGTTCAGAGAAAAGGAACAAAGTGGAGGAAACAAAAGGTTGTGAAAATATAAACCTATAGATGTTGGGTTTCTCCACCTAAAACAGGACAGAATGCTGATCTTTTTCTTTTACCTGGTTACCATCTCCTTCTCTTTGTTGGAGGCGCAGCCGCAGCTACTCAGGTTCTTGCTCGGCGTGGACAGGAAGTAGAGGCAGTGGTTCTTAAAGGTTTGATCGAGCAGCGGAAGCAACACCTGAGAAGGATTTTAAAATGAAGATGTTGCTAAAACTAACCCCGAGGTCCAAAAGGTGCTCCAAACCTTGGCAAAGAACTTGATTTCCTGGTCGTGTGGCGACTTGTCGGTCTTCCCGCTGGTGGCCATGGCCTCTGTAAGGATGAGGATGATGAGTCGGGTTGTGCTTTAACACTTCTGAAAGGTGAAAGCAGACTCACCTAGATGGGCGATGAACTCCTGGGCAGAGTCCACGTACTTCAGCAGCCGTTTGACAAACTTGAAGGTGAAGCGTTTCTCCATGGAGGACGAGTCCTGTTCCATGTCCTTCAGACCTCTGAGAGGTAAAACACAAGAGCTCAGTCCTGCTCAGATGAAGAGCTTCCATCATTTTGGTGCACATTTATCCACACCGACTCCACAAGTCCAAAAACAACCAACGGAAGGAAGAGGAGGAGGAGGAAGAGCCTAACCTGGTGATGGCGTAGCCACTAATCTGCAGGAACCTGAAGAGTTCCTGGGCCTTTTCTTTATCTCGGTACTTCTCTTTAGCCGTCAGGGTGTCGTAGGGAACCAGCAGTGGGTGAGCCGGTCCTCCTCCTGAATGAAAAGCCATTAAAATGCAATTTAAATATCCTAAAGTTCTTAATAAAAGAAGGAAGTGGTTTAGTTTCAACACCTTTACTGAGGAGTTCAGCCTTCTTCTTCTTGGCCCAGATGTTGTGGTAATTCTCTGCCACCACCTCCACCATGCTCTGCAGAAACAGGAAGAACTGATCACATCCAAACATCTGGATTTAATTTGACATTATTTACAATATCAGATGAGTAAAATCTAACCTGTAGCTCTCGGGACAACGTGACATTATGGAGGTCCATCGGAGCCGGACTGAATCCATTAGTCTGCAAATAAAACAGATTAATGAGTAAAAGCAAAACTCTGATGAGTTATCCATCCAAAAATCACCCCTTTAGTGTAAGTGACCTCTCATAAGCTTTACCTGAGTGAGACAGAGGAGTGTTTACCTGAGTCCCTGAGAGCTTGCTTTGTTTTTCGCTCTCTCGCTGTTGGAACATGGCTTCCCCCTCTTTGGTCCTCTCGATGCTCCAGCTCATAGCCAGCATGCTCTTCAGCGACTCTCTGACGGGCCAACGGTACGTCTCCCGCTCCTTTGAATAGAAAACACACATTTTTGAATCTTTGTCCTCTAAAAGATGCTCAACACAACCTCCAAGCTGATAAACTTTTCACAGAGACGATTGAAAACTTTTCTTCGGTGGACAGAAAAGTGCAAATTTTATTTCCATCCAGGCAGCCGAGTTCGTACCTTCTCACTCAGAGCTTTGTACGGCTTCAGCAGAGGATGAGTTTTGGCCTGCTCATCCACACCGTCTCCCTGTTTCCACCCGGCTGACATCTAAAGAGGCAGATAATCACGTTATGAGCAGAGTTCCTGAGCAACAACGTGCAAGCTTTTATTCTGAGGTACAAACACTGAGGAGAAAAAGAGACCTTCTCTGAGGCCCACTTGTCGTGGGAATGCTCAGCATACTTGTTGGCAATGTACTCGAGTTTTTCAGGAAGGGAGATGCTGGAAAAAGCAGGAAATGTTTAAGTGTTTAGCATTAAACTAAAGTCGGATTACCGTATTTTCCGGAGTATAAGTCGCAGCAGCCATAAAATGTATAATGAAGAAAAAAACATATATAAGTCGCATTTTGGGGGGAAATTATATTATTTTTCTTACAAAATCTGAGACCAAGCGTTTCACATTGCAAGACAAGTACTGGTAACAATAACAGAATAAACAGCCAGCTGTTGCATCAGGGGTATGCTGATGCAACACTGAGGCATTGAGGTGTGGAGCAGAGGATGGCTGGATGTGCACTCCCGGCAGCGGGCGGGGAGAGCTGCAGCCTGGGTGGGGTGGGGGTGGGGGTGGGGGTGAGGGTGGGGATCCAGGGTGCAGCAGTGCGCCACGGTCTCCAGCTGAGGATGGCAGTGTTTCAAACCCTCCCAGCGGGCGAGGAGAGCTCAGTCCTGGGTCGGAGCCGGCCCGCAGCACCCCGCCACAGGCTGCAGCAGGTGATGGCGGGGCAGAGGAGCTGAAACCTGGGCCGGAGCCGGCCAACAGCAGCGCGGTATACATAATTTGGTATATAAGTCGCAGGACCAGCCAAAGTATGGAAAAAAGTGCGACTTATAATCAGGAAAACACGGTACGTTCTAGTTTAGAAACTGAAAGTAAGCAAAAATGTATAATTGCAGTCATTGCACAAAGTGAATGCATGCGCATGCGCGCGCGCACACGCACACACACACACACACACACAATAGGATGATTCACTTGGCAGTGTTGATGGGTTTGGGCTCAAAGTTTCCTTGAGCGTCCACAGATTCCTGTTTCTCCACGGTTCCTAAGCTGGTGTCCACAAAGTCCGGCGGCAGGGCTCCAGCAATGGCGCACAGGCACGATTTGGCCATTTTAAAAAGTTCTGAATCATATTTCTACAAGAAAAAAAGAATCAAAACTAGGATTAAAGTCTGTATCTGAGCTGAAGAAAAACAAAAAATAAATAAATAAAAACATTGCAGCTACAGAGCTGACATGTATGGAAGGCGCCGGTGGCTGTTGCACTTTCATACATGTTGTTGCTGCTGGTTAAATTTGGTTCTACCTTCTGAGACAAGGAGTCAAAGATTCCCCAGAAGAGTTTCTTGGTGAGAAGCAGCTCCTCTTCAGAGGCCATCCCGAAGCCGCCCATCCCAGACGGTAGGCAGTAATACTTCCAGTTCTGCTCGTAGTGGTTGGTCAGCAGCTGGAGATCGGACGTATTAAGAAAACACAACAAAAATGACTCAAAATCCATCAATTCTGACAGGAAAAACATGAAAGGAGACAAGACACAAGGCCTAACATGGTTTTACTTTGAAACCAACTGCCGTATATTTCATCCAGATCGATTAAAGAATAGATAACGTAGAGAACCGCAGGAGAAGGGATCAAATGAACGATGTGTGAGATGTTAGGAGGCTGTTATCGCTTGTTACACTTCTCAGCTCATAAACACAAGGAGGGAGGCTCGTTTCTCACCCGCAGAGGCATCTTGCAGTACTCGGTGAGCAGAGGAACGTCGAACACCAGTCGTCTGAGCAGCTGCTGCATCATTGAGGGGCGCAGATGTCTGCAGAACGAGCACAAATAATTATCGCTAAATGCTGAATGCCAGAGGCAGCTTTAATTACAGGAAAACAAAACAATGTCACAGAAAATTAACTCTGATTTTTGTTGCATTATGTTGTTAGTCCTTCGGAGCTAGAGAAGAATAGAAGGGAGACTCCTCCAATGAGTTCTGGGTTCCTCCAGAGGGACCCTAACCCCAAAAACCCAGTAAATCCGGGTTTTATCTCATCCCACCAGAGTCTGAGCGTCCTTACTTGCAGATAGCGAGCAGACACTCCTCGATGGCATCCCGCTGGGCTTTAGTGAGCGAGCGACCTTTGGACAGCCGGTAGATGGTCTCCAGCGTGGAGTCGACCAGAAGAGCGTAGTGCTCGGTGCTGGCAAAAAGAGCAGCACAGCGGGTCAGCAGAGGCAGCAGGGCTGAGCCGATGTACCGGTTCATCGCCAGCGCCGTCTCCGTGGTGCTCAGCACCTCCTGTGAGACAGAGGACCAAGCATGAGGGACACAAGTTGGACTCGCAGGCACAAAGGAGTGTGTGTTTGGGACTCACTGTGTCCAAAGACGCTGACGCTTTGAGGTCTGGCAGGAAGCCGACCTCCAGCATCTGAAGGAGAAAGCTCTGGTCCTCGATGCCGTAGACTCTGTCCAGGAAGAGCACCATGGGGGCCTTGTGGTCCGGGCAGAAACAGGCCGACATGTCCGGCTCGGTCACTGTTCCGTCTGCGGGGTAAATCACATTATCGAAACGGACTTTAAAGAACTAAATGATCCAATTTTCTGTTTAAATGATGAATCAATCACAAGATTAGTTTGATAAACCTCAACTTTCCTGATCCTGGTGGCGAGAAACATTATCAGCAGAATCTGCCTTTCCTGTATGAGCAGGTGAGTAATGTTCCGTACTTTAGCTCAGCAAAAATAAACGGAGGTAAAGTTCCTGCTCCACCTTCTCCTGCTCCATTTAATTCTGTTTATTTATTACTTTTCACCCTCGTAGCAGCCGCTGAGCCGTGCGCACCTTTATTAACCACCGGCATGTTGAGGGGGATGCTGATGATGCCCACCAGGTCTGAGGTGGGGACCAGAGAGCGCAGGATGGCTCTGATACGCAGCGCCTCGCCTTTACCTGTGTTGATGAGCTGGAGGAAAACACAGAGACGATTTAAAGGTTTAAAGTAAAAAGAGAGAGCTGTCATAGCAGGGAGGAGTCTCACATGCATCTCAGGAGCGCAGCGTCCCAGCAGGTCGATTAAAGCCGAGTAGAAGGACATGATGGCGTTTCCCATGTGAATGACCTCCTCTTCCTCCTCACCAGACCTGAAACAGACAGATGTCATTCTGCAGCTGCGGCACAAATCCACATCGCATGAGAAGTTAAAGGATTTTAAATGTTTTATGTGAGACGAACATACCCAGGAGCAGCTCCAGCGGGGGTGTTCGGCAGGTCCAGAGCTGGATCCTCAGAGATCTTTATGGCCTCCTTCATAGCAGCCAGCAGGCCCTGCCCTCCTTCTCCTCTAAGGGCGGGGCCAAAACACTCAGGACGCCTGATCAGCAGCTTCACCACCACGTTGGCATTTTCCTCCACGCTCTCACCTGCATCAGGCAAACATGAAGACGTCAATCTCAGACACCTCTGATCTCTGGACTCATCGACCGCTCTCCTTTAGTCGTAGAGACAAGTCAACAAACGTACCATTACAGAAGACGACAAATCTCAGGAAGGACAGGTAGCGCTCTCCCTCGATGGGGTTCCAGCCGAGGTCAGGGTAACCCTTAGCAACGAGCATGGCGCAGCTCTGAAGGCCACATCCCGCCAGGTACGTCACCACCTACACATGGATGATTCTGGTTCAGCACCAGGTGTTTTTATTTCACGCTGCTTTTATTTTTTTATGGGTCATACCTTCTCTAGATCAGGTTCCTCCAGGTTCAGAGCCAGACCGTTGTTGTCCATCACAGAAGACGCTGCAACATCCAGAGGAGTGGAGCCTCGCATCGCCTCAGAGGCTGCAAAATAAACAAAAATAAATAAATTAAAGGCAGACTAAGCAACTTCCCCATATTTTTAAATCATTTTCTAGAGACCGCATGTGCTAAAAGGACCGTTAACAGGGTTGATGAAAAGTCTCTCATCCCCCTCCACCCCTTGTGAGTAGGATACCCCGTTTGCAACGTCAGCCTCTCCAGACCACTGCCCTGGAGTCTCACAAAGTCACGCTTTACAACAAACCATGTTTAAACCTCAGAATAGACGAGTTATACCTGGTTAGCATTTATTATAACGTGTTTATTATGGTGGAGCCTGAGAAGAAACAAAGAAAACATTTACCTGATAAAATTAAAAAGAGAAAAAGAACATCCGACCACAATAGAATCAAACGAGTCAACACCAGGAGTTTCCTGCCTGTTTTAGATCATAAACACAGCTGATTTGTTTGATTCAGAGATGAACTGCTCGTGTAAAAACTAAAGAAGGCTGGGGAGACATTTTCACAGATTAAGACGTGAACACGCACGCACTCACAGCAAGGAGAGTTTTAATTTGGTTTTAATGGCAGTGATTTAAAATGAACACTAGGGGGTGCTAAAAGCAAGCCGTTCTTTTGAAAGTCAGCGGCAAAGCAAACCTTTTGCACTGGTTGTGCATGAAAAAAATGAAATGGCAAGTTTTAAACTTTACATCCAGCTCCTGTTCTGCATCACGATTGGTTCACCACAAACCTACCATTATTTTATTTATATGATTCAAACTAAAACGTGTGTCTACTAAAAAATGTTGGGCAACATAAGACAAATTTCCATCTCACCCTCTGTGGGTGGTCCCAGACTTCTAACGTCTACCAGAGGCCTGGGAGCTTGAGGCAGTATCTTATACATATATATATATATATACATATACATACATATATATATACATATATATATATATATATATATATATATATATATATATATATATATATATATATATATATATATACATATATATATATATAATATATATATATATATATATATATATATATATATATGTATACATATATCAACACAAACATGTTTTTATTGCTCCAGTTTACCAGGATGTGATTTTTTATTTGACTTTATTGTGGCTCAAATTAAAATGATTTAAAGAGTAAGTCACCCCCAAATTAACTTTTTTTCTGATAAACTATATAAATGTATGTCTAATTGTGCAGCAGACACATGTAGTCAATAGTTTAGCACTTTAGTGCATTTTAGTTAAAATTTTAACTTTCTGCCTAAAACTGTCAGCGTTGTGTCGTTGTCAGGTAAAAACTCTGCACTGCTGTTGAATTTAAATCTGCCATCGCTATTGGCTAAGAGGTACATAGAATGTTAGCTGGTACCATATGATGTCACAGTGTCATTGTGAGCCTGTGTGTGTGTGTGTGTGTGTGTGTGTGTGTGTGTGTGTGTGTGTGTGTGTGTGTGTGTGTGTGTGTGTGTGTGTGTGTGTGTATTTGTTAGTGGCTCCGCCCTCTTGGTCTACTAGGCAACAGCATTTGTTGCATTTTTTAAACAGAAAGTGGGAGCGGAGTAATACTCTGGTAGGGGGTGACTTGCTCTTTAAGTAAAAAACTGATGAAAACGCCTGGAAAATACAAATCAAACACTAGCGATGGGCCAGAATTTAACTTTAATTAGCTGAAATGATGGATGAAGTTTCATTAAATTAGGATTCCACTGCATCGATGAAATAAGCTCAGTTTACTTGCTAGACTTTGTGCTGTTTAGCTGCATCATTTTCTCATTAGTGACACCTGCTGTTCAGGAGAAAAACGCAGTTTTCCACCAAATATTCCAGTAAAAATTTAATTTCCTGAACTTGGAGATGGACTCATGGATGTTTTCAAATCAGGACATAGATCAGCCACCTCTGGTAGCTCCTTTCAAGGTGGAGGAGAGGAGCGGTGTCTCTACTCCGATTCCCTCCTGAATGTTTGAGATCCTCCCCTTTTTAAGTTAACTCATATATACTGTCAACATTTCCTCTGAGAGCCATTTGCACCGTGGTCGGAGAACCACAGACTTACCCAGTCCAACGCTGCTGTTCTCCAGAAGGTAGCTCAGGTGGTCGAACATGGCTTTTTGGTTCTGGCGGCTGATGCGGCAGAAATAACACAAGAAGCGACAACAGCTGGCCACCATCTTGGGGAAAGCGATCTCCTGAAGAAACCAAAATCACAGACATGAAGAAGCAACAAAACTTTAATGTCCCCCATAAATAAATAATGAACAAATCTGCTCATAAAAGGAGATAAATTTAACTCCGTATGCAGTTTGCAGCCGTTCGGTCGTTCTAAAGTTTGAAAAAGCAGCTTGTGGTGACATACTGGAATTATTGTCTCATTAAAAGTTTGATCGAGATTTCAGTTATTTTATCGACTATAATTGTGTGATGGGACCTGCGTCTCTTAAATCCTTCTAACCTGGTGATTCATCATCCACAAAGGGAGCCTGATTGATGCCATCACAGATAATCATAAAGCAAATATTACCCCCCCCCCACCCCCCCACCCCACCTCCCGATGAGCTTTATATGGCCACAGAACGAGCAGCAAACATCTCGGGTGACAGGCAGGAATTTCTCTGAGACTGATCAGACTCTGGATGTTCGTCATGACGGTTTTAAAGCCTCCCCAAGGTCCGTCCGTCTGTCAGAGGCGGAACTCGTGTTTGGTTTTGGTATTTAATCCCAACGGCCTCCTTCAGCTTCTGTCAGCACAGTTTTCCGAGGACTCCTCTGACTCATCGCACGGCCACTTCACTCATCTGCTTCCTCACTTACACTTGTGGTTTTTCTGGGTATTAGGTTGTTGCTCTTGGCTCGCCTCAACAGCTGGGGATACTATTTATTTCTGTACACAACCTAATAAGCATTAAAAATGGTTCTGAGCACATATTTCATGGGACTTCAGGACTCAGTTGTGTTGCAGAAACTATGAACACCAAACTAAGCTAACTTGGCCCTCACTTTGGATCATTATCTCTAAAACTGTTGCTATGGCATGCCTAGCTGACATGAATGAGTCTTTGCTGTCATTATGGCCTTGTTAAATAGGATTTTTGGCAAAGTTTGTCAATTTAGCAACCAGAAAAATTAGAGGAATGTAGGTAAATGCTTGGTTGAAAACACGCTGGATTGATACAGAAGACAGGTTTGCAACACGTTTTAAAAAAGATCCGGTTGTGAGGCATGATGTGTGATGTAACTGGGCTTATTCTGTGGAAGAAAGCTTGATTTGCAGGAATTGGGAAGGCACAAGTGCTGCATTCCACTCCCGCAGCTGTGCATGCTGGTTATTCTGCACAACTGCTAATGAGCAGAACTCCTAAATGGAATGCAGCCCTCATTAATACACCTGTGCACTCCTTTTTCTTTCAGGTCAAGATGTCTGCTGGAAAATAATGAATGCAATAAAAATGCCTAGTTGGAGGGAGCAAAAGGAGGCTACTAAATCACCAACTGATGGTGACCTGGCTTTGTTGCTACAGGACTTGTAAGTAAATGGCCTTATTTGTATACCACCTTCTTAGGGTTCTAAACCCCCCCAAGGCTCTTCACAGCACAATCAGTCATTCACACACTGGTAAGGATGAGCTACGATGTAGCTAGAGATGCCCTGCCGTGCACTGACAGAGGCAAGGCACCACCGGTCCCGCTGACCACCACCAACAGGCAAGGCGGGTTAAGTGTCTTGCCCAAGGACACAACAACAGCATTTTCTGGTGGGAGCTGGGTTCGAACCTGCAACCTTTTGATTACTGGACAACCCGCTCTACCACCTGAGCTACTGCGGTCCTGTAAGTAATATTTGTGTATCTTTTTACTTTGTGGTTTATTCTAGTATTAGTTGGCCCGTGCTAGTATTAGCTCGCTGTTAGCGCTAGCAGGATTGTAATTCCACATTCAACCAGTAGCACAGAGGAGCAGGAAACTGCTCTGTATTACTTTAATTTGTCCCTTCTAGGCTTCTGTAGATATGTTGTGGTGTGACACGTCAGAGTTGTGTTTAAAACGGCTGCACAAAGAAAACACGCCTGAAACACCTGTTCTTACCTGAGACTTGTCTCCTCCCAGAACGTTGACCATGACCTCCATGACAGTCTCGTGCATGCCCAGAACTCTCATCAGATTGGGATGCTGGTAGAAAACTTTATTGTTCATGATGTCGCTAACAATAAAAAACAGTGAGGTGTCAACATCCTGCAGCCATCAACAGGCTTTAATGGGAAATACATGTCTGTAACTGGATTCGCCCTACCCAAGTCCGTCGATCATGAGCTTCTCCTCCTCCTTGCCCATGCGCACTGAGAGCAGAGACCTGATTTGACCAAGAGAGGCCAGCAGGTTAATAGCGTCCTGCACGGACGCGGCACTGATGGTGTAGGACTTCTTCATGGCTCGAAGCAGTTCACCGATGCCATCGTACTGCCTCCTCAGCAGACTGAACATCACTCTGACCAGCTCTGGGTTCTGGATGTGGGACTCCTGAGCCCAGCTGGTTATAGTCTGCGATATCAGCTCCTTCAGATTGGCTGAAATGGGATGAATATTCATGAATAGATGAGTATGAATTATTGTAATGCACTCTAATGGCTCTTTCCTATGAAATACAAACATTGGTTCAACTGATCAACGTTAAAGAGTAAATCAGGGGTAGATTCTGACTAAATTTGATGATTTTCTCTTAAAAGCTTTGACTTTGGCAAAGATGTCCTGCTAAATTGACTTGTTCCTCTGTCACATCTAGTTATGCATAAAATAGCTCAGCTAATACACAACATTTGAGTTGCAGAACTTACATTTTATCCGACTTTAACAGACTTCCTACTTGACGCAACAACTGTTAAAAAGGTCCCTTCGTTAAAAACAGGATGAAATGGATTTTTTTCATGTTTTCACATTTCTGTAACAGAAGCCAGATCTATTGTAATTTAAAGTCTAGCCTGTTTCTCAGTCTCAGACCTAAAGTCCTAATAAACGTCCACCTCACAGACAAGAGAAACACACTGAGCCATTGCTAAACTCTGCAGCACTCTGGGCGATAACACCGCCACACCAATGCTTTTGCTGAACCAGTGTTTAAGCTGCACCTCACAACATCTGTAGCAAACAAAAGGGTCATATTCAGACAGCATCCTAATGAGGGTGGAGGCGGGGAGCCAGCTGCTTTGCCAGCTTCACATCTGCTCTGTGTCCTCTCAAAGAGGCTCGCGGGGGAGATTTAACATCAAAACTACAGTCTCTGCAAGCTAATGTGGACATGACCATGCACAGCATAGCTAGAGCAGTGCCACTTAGGAAAAACCCCTCAGTTGTATAAATATATGCAGCTGCTCAAACACGGCACACTGAGCTGGGAATGTTATCACAGTAACTGTGAAAAATATCAAAGCTCTCTCTTCTCTTTGGCATTTTGGTATCACATCTGTTCTGGTTTCAAATAGGTTGACAGGATGTCTGAAATAGATCTCAGCCACATCAAACCATTCTCAGTCAGCTTCAAAACCAGCTTTTACTGATTATTAAAGACCAAGTTCACTTGTTTTTTTCAACGCATTTGCTGTGGTCTCAAATATAAATGAATGCCTTGTGAGTCCATCTCTGAGGGAAACACACCGAGTGTTTTTCAACGCCAAGGAACCTTGCCTTGATGTCTTGGCCCCGCCCCGGTTGCCTAAGAGATACGTCATCAGGAACCACCAAGGCATGTTCCAATGTCCATGTTCTCCCGAGGCGTGTGCTCTCCGTTTGTTAGCCGTTTAGCTAGCTGAGCAAGGATACATGGGAGGTGTCTTGTAGCCTACTCTTGGTCAAAAATTACCCAGAATACACCGCGGTATTTTCAAAAGGATGGCAGATCAGAAGCCGGCAGCTACTTTGGGGCAAATTTCAAGTTTAAAAGTAAGTCAGCTAATTTAAAATGTTTTATATTTAGATCCATAGAAGTTATCTATGGTTAGTTAGTAGCTTAGTAGTTGCAGCTTCAGTGGCTAGAGGGTAGTAACTCACTTATATATTTAATTTAATAAACATATACACAATTTAAAAAGTAAAAGTCTTGTTATATATTTATATTGAAACTAATACATGTTAAATATAACGTTATCTCCCGTGTCAGGTGATGTAAGTCTGTTCCATTTAACCGTTTTCTTTGACCAAGGAAGGACAGTGTCCTCGTAAGCAAGGCCCCTTGACATTGAGAAACACCCTCTGACGATCCTGTTTCAGGAAGTAGAAGTGAGCCAGACAAGTGGGGAGATTAACACGGCAGGATTTGGAGTCTCATTTCTCATTTTGATATATCTCCTCTGATTGGCTAACAGCAAAGCAGCTCTACCACTGACTAGAGTTGATGTTTAATCTCCACAAATAACACAAGCCTGAAGGAGCTCTGCTATGTGGTGGATTTGTTAATGCTAACAGTTAGCTTCAAGGCGTGCTCTGCTTTCAACAGCCTTCTCCGCCGCGAGCCAAGATGGGTGAGTCCAGTGATGTTAATTTTCAACGTGACGTAGGTCTGACAGGCTTTTCTAGTGCGAGCATTTCCCCATTTATTTTTTATCAGTGCATAATGCAGGGAATAGTGGTAGAAGACTGTTTTCACATTCATATTTCAAAGATAACACGTAAAAAATGGTTTTCTCTGTGAACTTGTCCATTAAAGAGCGACCCTGAATGGGTAAAATACGCTCAAATCAAATGATGTTCTAATATAAAACCAGGAAATTATATTACTGCATGCTCTTTACACTTAGATGTTCAATCAAGGTTTCGCACCTCTGACCTATTTCCACTGACTCCACCAGGGCTGCCCTTGTCATCTCATTACCTTTGTGGACAGGATTTCTAGGTGCTGCTGCTGGTTGGGAGGTGTTGAGTTTGGTGGCAGGAGGATCTCATCTTTACGCTTTGACGTGCTCCTCTTAGCTTCATCCAATCTCGAGGTTTGGCTAGGGAAGGTCACAGCTGAGAGAGATCAGCAACTCTGAAAAAGCCTGGATTACCAACTCCAAGTTGAATGAGAGGTCTCATTTCATTTGGAGGAGTTTGACTATCGCAGGGGTTTCTTCACGAGCATGGGGGGAAGGGAGCGTGAGATCGACAAGCAGACCGGGATAGCTACTGACTGCAAAGACTACAACTCCCATGATGCTTAGCGTGGAGCCAAAGCGCCCCCTCCTTTGTGTTTTTTCCAGCGTCTGCAGCTCCGCTGTCTCGGACAAACTAAACACTCCTCTCACTCAGCGCCGAGTTTACTCAGCTATTTGCCGACGTTGAAGCCCAAAAACGGAGATTTTAACCGCTCAGTAATGTTTTCACGACTGAAAGAGAAAGTTTTCCAACTAACTTCCAGACAGAGCTGATATAACTCCAGCGAGCAGCGACACGCTCAAACCAGCATGACTCTGTGGCTGCTGTAGTTGTTTTTTTTCCTCCCCGACACACAACAACGTGGTCAAGCTGCTCAGACATGTTCATCAGCACAAACCTATGTGAGCACCTGTTGTCATCTAATGTTGTCATTATTATGATGAAGATGAACAAAACAACAGGAGTCTCCTCCTTAGCTCAGATCAACCCCATGATGCAGGTATCTGGCTGGAACAGGTGAGCATCACAGTAAACCAGTGGAGCAAACTGAGCTTTAAATATGTTGGTTTTATGCTCTTTTTCTGCTCCAAAACATGAAAGTTAACAGGTGAGATGTTGCATTTTCATTTAAGATAAAATGATATTTTTTTGTTGTTGTTGGCCCGTAAGAAAAGATTTAACCTACAGTAAACAGGAAGTGGAAAATGGTAAATGGCCTGTATTTGATATAGCGCCTTCTAGAGTCCTGGAACCCCCCAAGGCACTTTACAACACAATCAGTCATTCACCCATTCACACACACATTCACTCACTGGTGGGGATGAGCTACGATGTAGCCACAGCTGCCCTGGGGCGCACTGACAGAGGCGAGGCTGCCGAGCACTGGCGCCACCAGTCCCTCCGACCACCACCAGCAGGCAACATGGGTTAAGTGTCTTGCCCAAGGACACAACGACAGCGACAGACTGAGCGGGGCTCAAACCTGCAACCTTCCGATTACGGGGCGAGCACTTAACTCCTGTGCCACCATCGCCCTAAAGTGGAAAGGCTGCAGACAGATGAATAGAATAGAATAGAATATTGTTCCTCAGTGGGGAAAGCTAGATGTCACAGCAGTGATGACACGTATTACAGGAGAAAAAAACGAGAATAAAAATAAGAAAAATTAATAAACAAGAAAACAAATCCTGAATAGATTTTAAAAATGCTGAATATACCACAAGAAACGAATACCACTGATGTGTTTTATTTAAAATGGACTTGCTCGTGTGTAATTTGGTTATTCCACATTCAGTGTTAATGCAAAAATAAGTTTGTTTCCAAATTAAAAGGTTCAAAATTGCATGTTGATAAAGAAAATGTGCAAATTTGGCGTCACCTTTTCAAAAATTAAGTTCGGCCCACAACTTCGTCCCAGATTTTCATTTTGGCCCAGTGTGGATTTGAGTTTGACACCCCTGATCTAGAGGGATTTAATCCCCAGCTGGGGGTCCCACCAGTGGAGCTGGTGGAGGTTGCTGGGTAAAGGAGGATTTGGGCTGCTTCCATGACCCAGATAAATGTTGATGGCCTTAAAGGTTTACATAATCCTAAGGTTGTAGAAAAACAATACTTAAAGCAACTTCTGCCAAAAGTGGTTTGGTTGATTGGTGCTGCTAAAACTACACTCTACAAGACTAAATCAAATAAAATCTTTAGAATCATCATAAATCATGTCTTATTCTAAAACATCTGAATGATGTAAGATGCAAGGAAATCCATAAGGTCTTACAGAAGCTGAGCAATCATTAATATTTATAAAACAGTGTGTAGAAAGAAGAATGTGATTAATGGAAGGTTTAATAAAAGGTGTTCAATCTGATGAGAAGCAGACTGAAAGCCTGTGAAATTGGATCATCAAGATGAACGATGAGATGATTCCTGCAAAGCCCCAATAAATTATTATCCAATTATATGTATTATGGAAATCAGGGATTAATTATGTTTACCTGGACACTTCTGTGTTTATTCAATAAACTAACATTTAAAAAGGTCAGAGACGTTTCACACAAGGTGGTGCTTTTATGAAAATGTAAAACAACCAGTCTGCAACCTCCACAACTCAAAGAGCTGTTTCCCCCTTCAGTCCTACTAAATACAACCTGTTAAGAGCCTGAAATGTTACAGTTTAAACAAAGATTTATGATACATATCTATAGAAGGGGACAGTTATTTTCATTTTACAAGAGCCTAAAATCAGGATTCTGACTTTTTTCTGAGATTAAACAAACAATTTTCCTCTGCTGTAAGTTTCTACTACAAAAGAATTCTTTTCATTTTTGCAAAAGAGAAACCCTCACAAATTTACTTCTATTAGGTTTTAAAGGTGCATTATGAAAGAAGGATGTAAGAACGACATCCTGTGGCCAAACGTGGGTACTGCAGCCCACACTTCAAAATAAATGAACGACTCTCTCGCTCCCGTTTGCGAGTTTCATGGCCTCTACGGATCAGCACCAGATGGTTCTTGACGATGAGCGAAGACGAGTACGTTGATAAGTAAAAAAAATACATTTCACTGTATAATCAAGTTGTTGGTAACTAAAAATTAGCTCGGGATATTTTTAGAGCCATCTATTTGCTTCTAATTCACAGTTAGCATTGCTAGTTCAATGTTATAAGAAATAGATGTCAGAGTAAAACAAAAAGATGCTGTGGCTTCTTAGGGGTAGAAGAAATAACGACTGGGTCACTCCTCTGATCACTGGCTTTGGATCTTTACAAAAGACTGCTGCATTTTGCCTGCCGGTGACGAAATACTAATGCCGGTGCTCTGCGCAGGGTAGACCTGCGGCTCACAGGTTGTAGACAGCGACTACGTCCCTCCTTGACCAAAACTGAAAACCCACCAGCCGGCTGAGGAGTAACCCACTCAGACATTAAACTGTCAAATCTTTACTTACTGTACTTTATAAAATTAAGAAGAAAAAAAAAGTACTGGTGCACAAAGCATATCCATATTTTTCTCTATGGGATGTTCATGTTTACACAACATTATGTAAAGAAACCGAAGTTCTAAAATCATTATTAATACATTTAGTGATATTCAGCAGAATGCTGCTTAACCCTTTGATGCATAATGGTCACTACAGTGGACAGGTACTCAAAAATGTTTTTTTTTTTGTTTGTTTGTTTTTTTTGCTATTAAGCACAGCGGTTGAAGACTTAATTGCATTTGAGCCCTTCCACTTTGACTTCAGTAAGTCAAGCCAACATATTTCATGTTCAGAATGCACGCTGTCTGCTGAGGTGGACATGTAATAAATACTTTGTAAAATATTAAATGTTACAAAAAATACTGGCTGAAATTTGTTTCATTCACACCTAAAGATGAATGAAAAAATGGTAAAAAAAAAATCATAGTTGAAGATTTCATAATTCATGCATCAAAGGGTTAAACCTGCATTTTTTTATTACATCTGTATTTGTTTTATATTATTTGTAATCCAAACTACTAAGAGCCATTGTGCCTCCAGAGCTGCAGAACGTTGGATTAGAACATGTTCTAACTCACTTGGTGCAGCTTGTTCCATCTCCTCTGGTTTCTCTGCTGTCTTCTGAGGTGGACCTTTAATCTTGTGCAGCAAAGCCAGAAGTCGACCTTTTATCGAAGTGTCCTGCTCCTCTTCCTCCTCCTCCATTGGGATTCCTGAACAAATAAAATCCCAATTTCTCTTAGTTTGACGTGACTGCTGGTAAAAACTGTATCTGCTGAGAAAGCAGCTGGACTCTACCACAGTGCAGGCGTAATTCTTCGTGGAAAGACTTCAGTTCCTCCTGGATCTCCTCTGGGCAGGGACAGTCCTCCCCCGCCTCAAAGTTCAACAGAATGTTGATCTGAAGCAAACGAATGAAAAGAGAAGAAATGAGCAAAAAACAAACAGGCGGAGTTACTCTGAGTGTTGCATTGACCGTCAGCAGAAGAGGAATTTATTTAACATCCTGCAGGAAGAAAACAAACAGAAGTCACAAGCATGGATTTAAATAATAAAAAATAAAGATTAATCATCAGAGAAGCCACAGATCTTTTAATAGCAAACGCTGCAGACACTTCAGTTTTGATGAATCGTCGTGTAGTTTTAGGCAAACAAAGAGGAAGTGCAAAACAAATATGTATTTATAGCTGAGCATTTTTAAAACTCTCACCCTGAAAAACTGATGAGAAATCTGAACAAAAGGATGAAAGAAATTAATGAATCCCTCTTTATCCCATCGTCTGGCTGTGCGTCGCAGGAAAAAACATCACAGCACCACTCAGCTAACATTTTAGCATGAGGCAAAGCATCATCTCTGTCTGTAAATAAACTTGGGTTTGTGTCGTTTGCTTGATTTTAATCTCTTTTAATCTCGAGTAAAGTGGCAATAAAAGGCAACAGAGGGTAAAGGGTTAATCTAATACAAATGAAACTAATTAACAAACATTTCCTTTTATTTTTAGGCTTTAAAGCACAAACGACAAACAGACCAACAAGGCTTTAGATTTTACCCAGCAACAGGACTTTCTGATTGGCTGTTGCACACAGCTGTTGTTAATATTTTAAGTGTGATAATTCAGTGGAAACACCACTCCTATACAAGAACATTACTGTAATCGTTTGTTGCAATCATCTAGCCTTAAACTTAAAGATCTCATTCAATTATTTTTTCAATACATCTGCTGTGGTCTCTAGTATGAACGGATGCCTTGTGAGTCGTTTCTATGGGAAAAAAAGCCCTGGTGCTCCCGTTTCAGGAGGAGTGGAAGGTGGATTGAAACAGAAGTCCTTCTCATTAATAATCATGATATGCAAATATCTTGCCACTGATTGGCTAACAGAAAAAAAGACTCTTCCGCTGCCTCCGGTCGCTCTGCTTTATGTTGATGTTTTATCTCTAAAAATAACACAAGCCTGAATGTTTTCCACCATGTTGTGCTGTTGCTAATTCTAATGGTTAGCTTGTACTAGTCCTGTTCTCTCCTGGCTGCAAACCCAACATGTCCTTCTGCAGCCTCAAGCCAATGTGGGCGGGGCCACCGACGCTAATTCTCTAGAAGAGACCGTCTTTTTCTGAACAGATCGTTCTCCCGTCTATTTTCTTTCTGCTGCTAATGAATGTGATTGGAGTGACCGATTCAAAAGGATTACACGGTTTCTCAGTGAATGAGACCTTTAGGAGTGTTGATCGAGCGCAGTGGTCCACAGAACAACCTGACCTTTAAACTTCTAACTGAAAATATTAAAGTCAACATTAATTCACCCTTTGGGAGCGGTTATGATTTCTCGCTCCCAAATGCCAGATGTTAAGCTCCACTGCACAACCGAATCACTCTGTGTTCAGTTTAGCTTCACTGATTGCAAAGTTACCCTTTTGGGGAATCCAGCAGGAAGGTAAACTCCAGGAGTTAGTTTCAGGGTCAGAGACATGGTACCTGCTCATGAGGCGGCGAGCGAAACTCCTTGGTCTTCTTGGCTGTGACGGCGGCAGACATGTTGAGCGCCAGCATCAGCTCGTTGTAGCGGAACTTCTGATTGAACTGCAGCTTGGACACAAATCTGTCGGAGAAGGAGACGATGGCTTCGATGCGATGCTTCAGCTCACAGTCGCAGAAGTAGTGGAGCAGCTCGCACATCTGGAACAGAGAAAAGCGCCATCACAAAACAGCCTTTTTATGTTGTGCAATATAATGTCCTTTTGGGAATCAGGAAGGGATTTAGGAGTTTTTATTTGTTGTTTACTGGTAAACTAGCGTCCAGTGGTTATTTCTCAGCTGACATAATTGATTTTGTGGATTTCCCACAAGCCCTGATGGACGATGAGCGCTTTAATCACCTCGTGTTTGACCGACTCTGGCAGAGACTTCCCCAGCAGACCTTTAGCAGGCGGTTTACTCTCCTTGGTCTCCTCCTCTCCTGCCTCCACGGCCTTCTCCTCATTCTTGCTCACCTCCTCCTTCTCCCCTGCCACAGCCACCTCATCCCCCTTCACCTCCTCGCCCTCTCTGGCCTCCCCGAACACGTTGGGCTCGATCAGGAGGAGGATCAGCCTCACCTCCTCGCTGGTCAGCACTCCCGTGATGAGCAGCGTTCCGATGAGCTTCAGGATGGGAACAAACTGGTACTCCAAGCTCCCGCCCACTGGGTCTCGGATGTGGGAGCCTCCTCCCTGCACGGCGTCGGTGAGCATGCTGATGGCCTTCTCCTTTAGGACTCCCAACGGGATCTGGGGGCTGTAGAGGAACTGGTGGCGTTTGGTGCTGATGATGCCAACGGGGGAGAAGTTGACCCGAGGTTTGAGGGAGGTGCTCAGATTGACGCCGGGCAGCGAATGACGCTTGGACTCATCTGGGAAGAGCTTAATGGAACGAGTCTCGTCCGTTACTGGGATGATGAACTCATTGTTCATCATCAGCTGCGCCTCCTTTGCCGTCTCAAGATGAATGCTGGAAATAAAAGGACTTAGTTTAACTCCAGCAGACTATTAAGTTTTACCATCTAACAAATAGCATCTCTATATGATGTAACTGTACATCTATGAAGGTTTTCCAGTGCAATTCCATAAAATTATCATTATACATCCATGGGAAGTGACATGGTTATACAACTGGACAGATGTTAAGCTTTTATTAATAAAGAATCTGAATGATTCAGCCTTAACAGTCAAAAACATTTCTTTCGTTAAGGTTAACCTTTCTCTACTCTTGGAGGAAGAAGAAAGGATAATTAGAAACGATTTAAAGCAAAAAACAGAGATTCAGTTACAACTGATGCATGCTGGCAACACAAACTCGTCCAAAACCCATTCTTATGATTGACTAGACAGCGACGCCGCTTGATGCTCCATCACTTTAGAAGCTAACGGCGCTCACGTCGACGCTAAAGCATCAGCCGAGTTACCAATCTTCATTCCTCGCCCTCACATGTCAGCAGAGGTCGTTTCATCCCTGTCGTGCATTCGCCCAAGCCGACAAGCACAATGAGATGACGCACCTGATGAGGACGTTGTAGAAGCCCTCTCTGAGCATGCCCGACAGGTACTGGTTGTCGATGGTGTAGAGGAGCTGTGATTGGTCTAAATGGCTGCAGAGAGCGTGAGCGACGCGTGTGTTCCCTAGGGCACACAGGGCGCAGTAAAGCTTCAGCGTGTGGTAGTGGAACTTCCTCAGGTCCTCGTGCTCCGATAACTCCAGGATGTCCAAACACCTGAAGGAATGATGGAAAAAAGGGTTTAAGATGACAAATAATATTGTGCAGTACTATCTAAAAGTCTTAGAAGAGTAAAATTAATGGCATCCCATCACTCTTGTTTGACTTTGATGTATAGTTTCTAGGGATGATGAACTCAACCACTGCACACTTTTAAAATTACCTCCATATCTCCTGGTTTTCCCTGTTGCCAGGGAGGATGTGTGCATTAAATCCAAGGTCACACTCTCCTATTTTCTCTTATGGTCCAACCCTTTTTTAAAAAAATGATTGTAATCACTTACATTTGCTTTAAAGAGAGATCTACCATGATGGCACGGACACAAATGTGTGTGTCGTGTGAAGAGAGAGGAGAAATACGTCGGGGTGGTGGCTTTAGTGGTGGACGGTCATGATGCACCAACAGAGTCCAGTCACAAAAAGTTCTGTTCTGGCATCTTAAGCATCATTCTTTAGAAGTTTGGGTTCAGCTTCCCTGGAGATGGAGGTGTCGGTACAAAACCCCATGGTTCCAGGGTTATCCCCGTGTCAGAGTGACTGGTACCAGTCCTGGAGACTGGGTCAAGTGCAAACACACTTTTAGAGTATTTAATTCAGTTATCATCTTAACTTCTCCTTCCTCACTAGGGTCATGGGGAGCTGCTGTCCAACTCCAGCAGACACCAGGCGAGAGGGCGGTGGACAACCTGGACATGTCTCTAGTCCTTCACATGGACAGTCATCCACTTACTCACTCACACTGAGGTCTCCAGTTAACTTAACATGCGGGGGGAGGGGGGGTAAACTTTAAAGAATGCTAATGTCCCATTTATTATCAATCTAGCTACTAAAAAGCAATAAAAATACATTTAAACATATATTTCTAATTATCTTCATGCCTCATTTATGCAGCGATACAAAACCAGCCCTGTAATAAAAAAATGAGAGGCTAGCCATGAAAACAGGTGAAAGAACCACGCATGCATGAGGGGGAACGTGCTAACTCCAGCCAGAACCTGTGAGGGTACTGTGGACCTCGGCCCGTTTGACGTGTTTTTATGTTTCATCTTTCTTTTCATGTTCCACACCATATTTGTTCTCATCGTGTGTTTAGTGGTTGTGTTCAGTCTGCTGATAAGGTCGTGGAAGGTACTTTATAAATAAAGTAGGGCTGCACAATGTATCTCAAATATATCGTTATCGCGATATCAGCATGCGCAATATGCATATCGCAAAGAACAGATAAATATCGTAATGAATGGTCAGCTCAACTGTTTGCTACACATAATGCATTCTGTCAATCAAACGGAAGCATGATGTTTTTTTTTAACAAATCAAATACAGCTCTTCACCCATTTGGCCAATTGGGTGGGTTCTCATAGGTTAGATGCCCGCCCCCGACACTTAATTTTGATGGTTAGCAAACACCAGAGTTAGCTTTGTTCTGCTTTTTCTGCTGATCCTGCTTCTTGTTCATTTTCTTTTTCCCTTTCCTCACATCTTTAGCTTTTCTCATTTTTATGATTTTTGTCACTTTTTTGTTTTTTTGCTTTTGATTATTTTTGTTCCTGAATGAAGTTTATATTTATCGCAAGTAATATCGTCATCGCGATATTATCGTAATCATTGTTATCACACATCGCAGGTTTTCCTAATATCGTGCAGCCCTAAAATAAATGAACTCAACTGACCTTTTTGGAGTATTTAATATGCAAAAAGTCAGTCCCAGTGGCAACCTCAAAGGGACTAGAGGACCAGAAACAGCCTCTGACCTGCTTGCCTCCCCTCACTGGGGCCTGCAGGTGCAGTTCTTAAAGAGCAGGAGCTCAGATTAAGGTAAAAAATGAGATTCTGAATCTCTTCTGCAGCTTTGATGTGTTTTATTAGCTGTTAAACAGATGAATGAGATTTTTTTTGTTCTAACCATTTTTTAGGTATTTGTTCTTTTAATAAATTATGTTTTTGTTTGTTTATAGAAGTTTATTAAATAAAGTTTGCCAATTTCCTGAATCCATCTGGTGAATGACAAGGAAGAGGCTGAACCTTGTCAGAATGGGTGACTTTCTACACGGCAAACAGATCTGCGACACCTTCCTCCCGTATGAAATCACTGAGGTGGAAAAAGAGGGTAGAATCTGAGTCATCACCGTCGCGCCTCATCCTAGCAGCAGAGGTGAAGCTGGCGAGCAGGTGTGAAGGCTGGGACAGCGTGTTTAGCATTCAGCACCAGCTACACTGATCTCACTTCACACACTTTGTCAGGCTGATTGGTTCACGTGTGAACGACCAACGCAGGTCTCGTCTCTGCAGCCAAATCTCAGAACGATGAGAGGAATTTGTCGACTTCGTAGAGAATTATTGAAATAGTGGAGCGCCTAATTTTGAGCGTGAAACTAAGCAGACACTTGAGTTTAACTGCAATTGAAGGTGTAACACATTACCTGTTCTCCTCAGGTATGTGCACCGCCATCATCTGCAGAGGCTCCAGACACTGGACCACCCAGCCGTGCCTCTCACTGACCCGAGCCGTCTCCACATTCAGGAAGGTATTCGGCATCCGGCTCCAGAGCACAGCCACGATGGTCTGCACATCCAGTCGAGGCGGACACTGAGGAACCGGGTTCCTCGACTCACTCCTGAATATGGCCGACGACAGCGGCATTGCATCCTGGGGAGTCAGAATAAACTCAAACAAATGCTAATGTTCCATTCATCATCAATCCAGCTTCTACGAAGCAACAACACACTTGCAATGCTTTTTTCTTATTTTAATTCATGCACTGATGTACAGCCTGTAATAAAAAGGGCTGTCGTTTAAAGTTGTGGAGGGAAACAAACCTTTATCTTAACAAATTCAAACTGGAAGAGGTTTGAACTGGTGGGGGACGCAAACACGGCAGGGAAGAGTTTGGTGTTCGGCTCCACCTGGAAACCAAATCCAACAGTTCACATAAATCAGTTCTCAAAGGTCAATGCATCACACATATCTGTAAAAATGTTACCTAGTTTGTCGATGATGCAGATCACAGGGAAAAGAGAAGAGAAGAAAGTGAGCTTTATTATAGTAATAAGGTTAAAAGCTGCTGTGTTTGACAAAAGCTGAATAAATAAAAGAGTATTACAAAAACAAGACTAAAGGAGAGATGAAAGAAGCAGACACGGGGGTAAAAGTGATGCAATGCCTTAAAAATGAAAGAGTAATCGTCTTCTGTTTGAATTCTGCTGCCAAAATGAGAACATTTCCCTCATTTTAAAGACCAAAAGAGAACAAGTAAAATGTGCTGCTATGTTTTTCTGCTGCATCATTTGTTAAGCGAGTCTGTTTTGTGCTCTTAAAGCGTTGTTCATCCAAGAAGTTAAAGTTACAGCTCAGCTATAAACAAGGTAACTAGAGGTTTTGATAAATTACTAAGAAAAATGTGTTTATTGGATGCCAGTTTGTTTGTGTAGAAGACTTACCTGATAAGAGATGGGCAGCTCCTTGCCGTTGGCAGTAAAGGAGACGAGGCCGGTGGCCAGGTCGACCAGACAGCCGATCTCCAGGTCCGAGTTGGAGTGGCTGGAGGAAGACAAACTGACGGCGTCTGCTGCACACACCATGTAGCAGTTGCTCCTCTGAACGCTGCAGCGAAGCAACCAGAATGAGTCAGAAGTTTTAAACATCCACAGGAAAATGATTTTAATGTATTCAATAAATATGTCCAGATTTATCCAGATTTGCATCCCAAATAAACAGGAAAGTGACAATCTAACGTCATTTTTGCATCTAAACTAATTAAAAAAGGTTCGCTACTTGAAAGAACAACAATGAATAGAAACCAGTTGAGTTGATTTATTGGTAAAATGTCACTGCTGTGATTTTCTTGTGTTTTATTGAACAAACGTATCATTTTGTATAAAAATGGTGGCTTTTAATGCATGAATGACTTTTTCTCCTGGTAATAAAAAAGACAAAAAAAAAAACTTGCCCCACAAAGTTAAATGATTGCATGATTTCTTCACCTGCTTTGTCCATCAAAACTTCTTTATAAAGTTGTTTTAGGTCGCTTTTAATCTCACCTGCAACTCCGTGCAGCATCAGGAACAGGATCTGCTCTCAGCGTGTCAGAGCCCGTCTACTCTACCATGTTTTTCGTGCTTTAGATGATTTGTGTATTTTTCTTGTAGGTTTAATCTATCTGTGTGTGTTTCATTTTAAAATGGATGGATTTAGTGTCTTTTAAACACAAATAAACAAAACAAACAAAAACCCAAGTACCTTTGAACTATTCCAACTATGGCAACTCACTTTAACACAGCAAGAAAAACGATGAGGCAGTGATTCCATTTTCTCTTGGTTTATATATAAAAAGCAGAGATAATAGTACAATACAGGAATTCCCGGCTCTTTGAAGGTTTCCAAATAAGTCCCCCAGTTGGCTGGCATCGTGCCAATCCCTGATGGGATTAGAAACCAACAAATATGTGTTCAACTAGACTGCATCACTCTGATTCAATTTGAAAAGATGGCGAGCTATGTGGCGTCTGTGCCTCGTGTGACTGTGGAATGAGACCAAGTCAGTTAGAACCCTGGAACAGGGTCACCCAGGTGAGTTAATACACAAATAATCCAACAAATTGTTGCTGAAAGACACTTGTCAGAGTTTTTAAACTTAAACGAGTCTTTTCTGGTAGCATTAAGGTTAATTAGCTAAAAATGAGCTTTTGCTATTATCATTTAACTTAACGGCTGGTATCGAGCGGCGTTTGCATTTCTGTCAGGTGATATCTGGACTTTTATTCACTCGTGTCTCCACCAAGTTTGATAATTAAACAAAGTCCCAAAGAAAAGCTAATTAAATATAAAGAGAGAGATCATAACAAAAAAGGCTAGAAGCTTGCCTCTCGTGGACCCGGCCCCTCTCGTCTCCCAGGGTAACGGTGACGGTTCGCGTCTTGCCAAGGCCAAACTTCTTGCTGTGGTAGTGGTAGTCAGGAGTGACCCAGCCCACCCACACAGAGGCAGGGTCCTGTCCAGCAAACACCCTCACTGAGTGGAAGTACTGACAACAAAAAATCATAAAAAAGGTTGGTGGTTGTTAAAGAAGGCGGTTATTCATTTTCACACAGGTGCTGCATTACAGTAGTGATGCTTCCAAAGTCCATACTCCCATCTTCTTTTGGAGGATGGCTGCAGGAAGGAACACAAGAATTAGAAATGATCTATTCATCAGTGGATGCAGAGGAATTTAGAGGACATGGGGTGTCCTACCTGAGCTTCAGTGAGTCGTCCAGAAGCCGGTCTGCAGAGTAAAACTCCACAGGCATGCTCAGCCTGCAGTAAACCATGTCACTGTTGCTGTTCTGGGTGCCAAATGTTTTATGAGTGACCTTAAGGCAGGGAGGGCTGTCCACTGTTCCATCGATCCTCGTCACCTAAAGAGTCCCAGGGAGAACCGGCAATGTTGATCTGTCCATTAACACAACTCACAAATATAAATAGTCCAGCTGTGTGAATAATAAAGAATCCACTTCTCCACCTCGATGTGCATGTGGTCCTGTGGTATGTTGACGAAAGTGGGCAGGCGCTTGCTGAACCACATGGTTATCTCTCTGTTCATGTTGACAGCAAAAGGCTCAAAGCCCTCCTGAAGGCCACACATGGTGTAGTATTTAAAGGTGCTCGCGTCTTTGCCCAGATTCATGAGGCCGATCTGAGACATGCCGAGGCTGCACACGGGGATGAAACCTGAGGGAAGACGTGGCTTTAGTGTGTAGGCGTCTGAATGATGACCCAAAACATGAAGTTGTGTTTGAAACACAAACAGAGTTACCAGCCCAGAAAATCTTGTGTTTTTTTTTTATGTTTCAGATTCACAAAATCATTTAAGACGGATCTTGATGTCTAAAACAAAACTATGCATTGTGTTCATCTTTAAAGCATGCAAACGGTTTATTCTGTGGTTAAATCACAACTAAAACCAGTTCCTTTGGGTCGACTTGAGGCCTCACCGTCTTCCGTTTCAAAATCTGCAAAGCACAGCTCAGAGCCCTTGCTGGTGATCAGCAGTTCTCCGTTCAGAGTGAAAATCATAGATTTGTCCTCCATATTGATCATGCATCCAACCACGTCTCCTTTCTTCCAAGGTTGGCCGAAATAGCGGCTGCCGGCGTGCATCCGCCGACCCTTCAGGACGAAAAACATTCAAGAGAAAGGTTGAGGACTTTTCTGCTACAAGTACTGCTCTTCAGGCAGTAAGAATAAAAAAGGACAAATGCATTTCACCCTGTAGCCATCAAAGACGAAGGCTTGGTCGTCTTTTCCCAGCTCTACGTCAGGCCTGCATCCCGGCCTGGCCCAGCCAACCCTCATGTCACCTCCACTCAAGACCTCAAACTCAAAGTACCACTTCCCAGTCTTCACTGCGTACGTTTGCTCCACACGGAAGAATCTGATGGTCTCGATGTTCTGACCGTCTACCGCGTGCACAACTTGGATCAAAGGAGAAATGAGAGCCAACATGATGCAAACATTCAGAAATGTGTTACTGGAAGTTGTTTTGATGCATTTTTGTTTTATATAAAAGCCAAAATCTCACCTTCCTGGTCTGGAGGGTCGATATCGTATCCATATCCAACGATGGTCCTGATGGCCTCTCTCAGACTGTCTCTGTTAGATTTCTTGGTGCGTTCGTCCAGTAAAGCATACGGCACCAGGCGAGGATTACGTCTGCTCTTTAAATCCTGGGAAAACAAATAAAACAACCAGAGATTAACAAATAACACAAAATCAATAAAAACCATAAGCAAAGGTTCAAAGTGAGGTTATTTTTTTTTACCTGCTGGATGCCATAGGTCCATCCTTGCTTGATTCTGTCTTTGGCCCACACATTGTGTGCGTTTTCGGCCAGTTTGTCAACCAGAATCTCCTGACCTGGAGTCAGTTTCACGTCAGAGAGTCCCAGCGGTGCAGGCTTATATCCATTAGACATCATGTAGCTGCAGACAACCCAACAAACAGAACAAGGTGAGGCACAAAATATACATTTGGATATTTTTTCATGGAAATTAAATAATTGTTTCAAATGTTATGCAAGAGTTCCTTGAAGGAAAGTGAATCACCCAGCACAGGGTATCTGCAGGTTTAAGGGAGCCAAATTTAAGACTTTTTAAGACCTTTTTTAAGGCCACTTTGACCAAATTTAAGCTATAATTTCCAGCTATTGCCTGGAACCGGTGCTAACCACGTCACAAACGTGGGATCAGCCATCCAGTTACCATTAAGCTTACACTTCCCCATGGTGCAAGCTTCCACTAGCTTAACCAGCTAATGTGCTCATTTAAAAAAAGCCCCCTTTCACAACCAACTGAATGTGTACGGTTCCGCTTACGCCAACATCACACACAAAAAATGCTGAATACTAACTAGAAATTCGCAAAATTTTTATAGAAATAAAAGAATCTTGTTTATTGGGTCTTTGGTAATTTAAGACCTTTGGAAACTCTACTTAAGGATTATTTGTCATTTTTAAGGATTTTTAAGGCCTTAAATTTGGAAAAGCAAATTTAAGACTTTTTAAGACCCGCGGATACCCTGCCAGCACCATTTGTGTGTGAAAAACGATCTTTTACTGATGCAGCTGAAGCTTTTTCTGTCAAATAATAAGTTCAATTTCTATAAAATTAACTGTTTTTAACATTTCTTGTGTTTTCTAAGATTGATAAACTGTGGCGGCCATCTTGAACAGGGGTGATTCCAAGAGTAGATGTAACCCCGACACAGGGCGGGGCTACACAGAGAGATCTGGCTGCTGCCAGGTTACTGTAGATGAATACCCAGTGGTCATTTGAGTTTCATTACAGTCTGTCCAGTACAAACTCACTCATGCATCCAGAGCAAAACTAACACCAAGGCAGACTTGCCGTCCAACGACAATGAGCAAATAAGAAAGGGACGTTTCTGTGCAGAAATGAGAGGAAGAGTCGTACTCTTTAGGTAATTTGATTTTCTTCAGATCTTCTTCAGCGTGAACATTAACTTGGACAACATGGCATCCAAGTGCCAACAGGGTCCTGGAGACAAAACAAACAAAACAGAACAATATGAGATATAAAACACCCAAAGACTCATCTCCTGCTTTCTTAAAGGAGGGCTAAGCCGTTTTGGCTTGCTTTTAGCGCCTCCTAGTGTCTGTTTTTCCCCTTTAACCATTAAAGTTCCAGGTTAACGTTTAGTAATTACCAAACATATTTTAGTTTACAAACCTTAAAGACCAAGTTTACTAGTTTTTTTTTGGACACACCTGCAGTGGTCTCTAGTATAAATTAATGCCTTGTAAGTGAACCTCTATGGATAAAAAAGCTCTGGCGCCCCTGTTTCAGGAACTAGGAGTGAGCCAGAGGAAAGGGGAGCAGAAGGCGGCAGGATTTGAAGTCTTATTTCCTGATATCTGGATACCGTAAATCCTCTAATACAGGCCGGTATTCAATTAAAGGCCGGGTCTCCAATTTTGGCCGGTGTCGGAGTCAGCGGAGGTAAATAATGGCCTGTCTCTTATTGTGGCCGGGTGGAATGTGGTAACAAGCAAGTACGAGAGTCCCAGCGGCAGGGTTATAGTCCCCAAATCAAACAGCAGGAGGCAGTAGGGGTTCGCGCAGACCTTTATTAGGCTTTTTCTTCAAGCTTTGTAACGCTTCAGACACGATCCTCTATCACGCTCCTACCACACAGAGTCACGGTGTCAGTTAACCATGCTAATTGAACCTGCTCCACATAACACACATCACCTTCCCTGTGGCTTACATAACACTCACACAACACGCAAATCAGCACATAGGAACTAGCAGAACGATAGGAAACACATATAACACAATACCCAGAATGCACCTGGCTTACAACCCCAGCCAGGTCATTACACTATCAAGTTCAAAGAGAACGTGCTGATTATGCTGCAGAACACTCTGGAGAGCAGCAGTAGGGGGGTGTATGAACTACAGTAATCCCTCGTTTATCGCGGTAGATGCGTTCCAGACCTGGCCGCGATAGGTGAAAATCCGCGAAGTAGGGACTCCCAGCATGCCCCTCGCGGGGATTCCCTCCACGTCGCACCTACGTCACAAACCGCGGCTATAAACGGAAGTCGCCTTTCCAGCTCACCACTCAGTCATCGTTTCTTCAGATTCACGATCAGTTTCCAACCTACCAATCAATCCAACGAACTATCAGCTCATAGTAAGTTATCTTACTTACTTCTGGAAAGCCCGGCATTTCCGTGTCACTTCGTTGACGCTCGAACGCTCGGGGGTTTCCTAGAGCAGCCGGCGTTTCACCGACGCTATCACTTCCGCGTCTGTGAAACCACGCTCCCGTAGGTACTGACACGCGATCGTTCATGTCGGTTCATTTCCTTTAATGTTTTCTGTCTTTTATTTGCGCCTGATGTGTTTCGCTGCTGTGGAGCGGGGCGCATCAACTTGTCCTCCGACGCACAGATCACAGCAGGGAGCGCTCAGCTGTTTTCGCGGTCGGTAGATCTGCCTCCTGAGCACGGCCACAGTAACAATCAGGTGTCGCCACCTCAAAAACTAATTTAACACGCGATCGTTCATGTCAGTTCATTTCCTTTAATGTTTTCTGTCTTTTATTTGCGCCTGATGCGTTTCGCTGCATGCTGTGGAGCGGGGCGCTGCGGGCATCACCTTGTCCTCCGACGCACTGATCACTGATACGGCCGCCAAACAGCAAGCGCTCCGCTGTTTTTGCGGTCGGTAGATCTTTTAGAACTGCAGTTCAAAGGTAACTCATGAGGTGAATATATATGAACCCAGGCAGCAGCTTTTCTTTAGGATTGAGAAGAGATGCAGGAAGATAATAAACAGACAGGACAGAAAAATAGTCAAATAAAAACAAGTTAGTTTTCGTACCTGCTGTTGCAACAATCAGACACCATTGAAGGTAATCAGAAGTGAGGAACAGAAAATGAAATAATTATTTTAATGTTTAGAGCAGCAGGAACTCCGAGAGGCTGCAGGCGCATCAGTGAGTTTGCGGCTGCTGCGCAGGGGGAGGGGGGAGAGGGCTGAAGCAGGAACTACCGTTGTTAAAAGAAATGTGTTTAACTTTGAAAATGTGGGCGCAATTTTAATTGTCAAAAACTCCAGCAAACCATTAGTTCATTTTGCTCAAATAGAAATAGAGGCCTGCCTCTAATACTGGCCCTCCTTCCAATAAAGGCCTGGAGCTTGATGAGCTTGAGTCAAATACAGGCCCGGGCCTGTATTAGAGGATTTACGGTATTTCCCCTCTGACTGGCTAACAGCAACACGACATGCAATGTTTCCCAAGTACTTAAGATGGTTCTATTTGCTGATGATACCAACATATTTCGCTCTGGTAGTGACTTACAACATCTAATACAAGAGACGAATGCTGAATTGATCAAATTAAAATCATGGCTGGATATAAATAAACTATCGCTAAATATGAGCAAAACAAAACTAATCTTTTTGGTAGACATAACACTAATATGAATTTGAATGTACAGATAGATGGAGTAAATATTGAAAGAGTGGAAACAAAATTCTTAGGGGTAATTATAGATGATAAAATGAATTGGAAACCACAAATGAAATATGTGCAAAATAAAGCTTCAAGATCCATTGCAGTATTAACCAAAGTGAAATATGTCTTGGATTATAAATCGCTCAGGTTACTTTATTGCTCATTAGTACTTCCATACCTTAGCTATTGTGCAGCAGTTTGGGGAAATAATTACATGAGTGCAATCCAACCATTAATAATTTTGCAAAAGAAAGCGATACGAATAATTCATAAGGTAGGATAAAGGGATCACACTAATAAATTATTTATACAGTCAGCACTCTTAAAATTTAGACATTGTAGATTGCAGACAGCACAAATATTATTTCTAGCAAGAAACAAACGATTACCAGAAAACATCCAAAAATTATTCATTGAGAAGGAAGGGGGTTATAAATTACAGGAAGAATTTCATTTCAGAATTCTTTTTGCACGTACAACAAGTAAAACCTTTTGTATTTCGGTATGTGGAGCAAGACTGTGGAATAGGGCGGAGGGGACACTAAGGAAATGTGTTACTATGATTCTGTTTAAAAATAAACACAAAAACAATATTTATACCAGGTACAGAATTGAGGAGGGTATTTCAGTTTGACAGTCTGTGTTTTAATTATTTACTATTATTATTATATTAACAAGGACATTATTATGTTATAATATAATAAAAAGGACAGGCATGAATATAAGCATTTTGCTTCTGCCTGAGCCTTTTTCAGTCATTTTGAATGTAATGTTTTATGTTTTATGATTATATTTAGTATTTTTATATTTCTGACTGAATAAATCGAATCGAAACTCTACCGCTAACTCATGTGGTGGAGTTGCTAATGCTAACGGTTAGCTTCTTTTCATCTAGACCAGGGGTGTCAAACTCATTTTAGCTCAGGGGCCACATTGAGGGAAATCTAGTCCCAAGTGGGGCAGATGGGTAAATAAAAAAAAAAACTTCAGATTGTTTTCTTTGTTTTAATGCAATCAATATAAAACAAGGCTGGAGAGTGAGGACAGTGTATCCAAAATAGTACAAGTACAACACCTGAAGTGTGCTTGAAATTTTGAAGAAAAAAAATCAATAAATTAAAAAAAATTCCTTAGTGATTCAAAGTGCTTACAGATCACATGGCTAGATCAGTTTCATGCAGCACTTAAAGCAGGGGTGTCCAATCCTGGTCCTCGAGGGCCGGTATCCAGCACATTTTCGTTTTAACCTGCTTCAACACACCTGATTTCAATCAGCAGGTGATTAACAGGCTTCTGCAGAGCCTGATGAGCTGCTGCACAGGTGATTCAACCAGCTACTCAAGCGTGTTGAAGCAGAAAAACCACAAAACCTGCTGGTTACCAGCCCTCCAGGACCAGGATTGGACACCCCTGACTTAAAGTGTATTGGACTCATTTTACTTAACATCTTTTAGCTTTCACCAGCACATCAATATCAGAAGTCACATCCTGAGTGGCAGCCAAATTCAGGATGGGATTCAAGTTCTTGTGTGAGCCTTGAGCGCAGCTTTGTTTTATTTATACTCATTACAGAGAAAACTTGCTCACAAAGATAAGTTTATTTTCACTACATTGTAAAGTATGAAAATAAAGTTTACACAACCATCTCGCGGGCCGGACTTAACCCGTTTGCAGGCCGGATCCGGCCCGCGGGCCGCATATTTGACACCCCTGATCTAGACGTTCTCTACTGTTTCCTGGACACTAAACCAACAACAGCCATGGCGAGCCAATATGGGTGTGTCCATGAACAATAACTTCAAATGTGACGTGACGGGCTTTCTTTCTTCATGAGTGGCAAAAAAACATCTCTGAAGGAAACTGAAAAAGAAAAAAAAACCTGCTGACCTAAAATAGATTTTTTTTTAATATGGTGACATTTAAAGAAAAGCCTAACGTTTATTGTGGTGTTGCTGTTTAAATTATGTACAAGTTTAAATAGCCTCCGTTGCTTCAAGTCATTCAAAATCTCCAAATATCATTTTGACTGTAGTTTTCATGCTGTGCACATTAAAGGGTTAACACAGCTCATTAGACCTTTAAAAATCTAAATCAATACAGCAACGTAGAGCTGTGAGTGAGTGCTGGCAGTGGGGCAACAGTACTCCAAGAACAGACTGCATATTCTAACAGAAGCTCTCTGTAGACGATAACTGAGCCAAAACAAATGCTGGAATAGTAAGATGAGTCAGTTAGTCGGCTTCAGTTGTTTTTCTGAGCCAGTATGTCCAAAATAATCAATACTGGACCTCTCCCTGGAGATGAAAGTCATTACCACCACAGCTTTAATCCTATTCCTAATCTGTTGTTGCTCAGCGTGTGGAGGAAAGCTGCAGCAGCAGTTCATTAAATGGGTAATTGGATTATTTAAGCCGTACTTGAGCGTTTCGCTGGACATCTGAAGATTGTAGCTCCTTTCGGTTTCAGGTAGCTTGGTGAAATCCACGAGGCACGGATGCTGCCGCTTGTTGTCGTCGCGGACCTGAGGAGGGAGCAGACAGGAATCTGGGATTAACGTTCCATCTCACAGCTCTTTCCTCGGGTTTAAAGGCCTGTCGACACCACGTGCGGCTCAGCATTGGTGTGATGTTCCTGGGAGCTTTTGCCGCTTTGTCTCTTGGTTTATTTCAAGTTTCTAAACTGTTCTGCTGTTTAGTGGCTGAATGTTGCTCTTGATCATCTTTATGACCTGGATTAACCCCTGATCGGAGCTTTTATCCCAGTTATAATTAAAGTCATACTATTGGCAGGGTTAATTTTGCTGAATGGATTATAATTCAGTGATAACCACAGCAGGACAGAAGAGACAGCGTGTGTGATCAGACTTCTGATGGGATGTTCTGCAGTAGATGGAGAGAGGGAGTGAAATGATGAGGAAAAGAGTGATGAAAATGTCTTCAGCCCGAGGACTTTAAAGGCACGGTTAGGTTTCTGAATCCTTTTCTAATCAGAGAGGATCTAAATGTAGACGCACATTAAAGACTAAATCGGAAGCTGAAAAGTGTTTTTGTTCAAAATCTGCAACTAAAAATTCCTTCAAATAGAAGAAAACCTGCTGCTACTTAGTAAAGATCCACACAGCAATAAAAAAAGCAGCCAAACGGTAATAAATGGTAACAACTCACATAACCCGATTTTAAAATGAAAGAATCTTTAACATTTCTGAGCAAAATACACACAGAAAACTTCACTGATCTGACTTTTAAATGTGATGTTTATCAAAAAGCAGTTCAATCCAACCAGATAATAAGCGAGAGACACATAGATGTCAGATGTACAGAAGACCGTGACTCCTCTTGAGGGATCCCAGGATGTTCCTGGGCCTCCCCTCTAGGGAGCTCTGGGTCTGGACCAGGGTCTCCTCAGGAGGAGCTGGTTCTGTTGCAGCTGCCACCTGACCTCAGATGAGCAGAAGGAACTTTAATGAAGGCAGAGTGAAGATGACCAGAAGCTGCAAGCTAATGTTTTTCTATTGATGCATTAAATAAGATTAAACAAGATTGAGAGTCTGCACTTAAAATGAGTTACCTCAGCAAAGTGGAGGGTGTGTTTTAATCCATAAAACAGCCGAGTCTCTGCTACAGTTTTCTGCTTGTGGAGCCGCTTTTCTCTGAATTCTTCTGTAAATCCTGCTTCCTGTTTATGTTTATTCATTGTGAAGACGCTTTTATCCAGATTGCATTAACCTAAACCTGCACGTTTTTGGTCTGCGGGAGGAAGCCGGACGCATGCACAGAGGGAACACGTCAACTCAGCCCAGTCGGGATTTGAACCCGCAACCTTCATGCCACTTCACATCTTATGTTATTTAATTTATCCTTGTTTTAATCCAAAGCATCAGCACGTACCCTCATTTATAAAAGTCCTTGAACATGTTCGTTACTGTAGCTCCGCACATTAACTGGTCTTGTAGTTCAAAGGACTGAAATCCTCAAGTTAATGAGTCATTTTAGGATTAATGGCTGAAGCTGGGCGCCATCAGTCACTGTTGTCAACCACCCGTAGCAGGTTTAAGGGGGCCCCGCCCCCCCACAGCTGCAGGACGGCAGCAGGTTTACCTTGCCGTAAGTCCAGCCCAGTTCGATCTTGTTCATCCCCCAGAGCTCGTGGATGTTTTCTGCCAACTTGTCGCGGATGTTCTCCAGATGAGGAGGGAGAACAATCTGTAACAGAAGAAACACAACAAAGTGTTCTGACACGTAAAAGTAACTTTCCTTATCTTTAAAAAGAAGTCAAACAGCAAAACTTTGAGGTTTGAACCAGTTTTTTAAAGCTTGAATGATTTGGAAGCCCCTCACTTGGCTGGTGTCCACAGGAGTGGGAATGAAGGAGGCCTGAGAGAGGAACTGGGTGGTTCCAAGCAGATCGCGGACCCCATCGTGGTCCCGTTTGTACTCCTTCACAGGCTCCACGTGCATCTTCTCCTTTGGCAGGAGTGCCTCGTAGCACGGAGAGTAACCGGCAGGTGGCAGGAACTTAAAATCGCCGTGGCGTCCTCCCAACAGGAAACGCACTCTGAGACCAAAGCACGTGGGACAAATCAGCACTTTTTCTTTGACACAGCTCTGTTTTTGTTGTAAAGCTGCCAAGAACGTACTTGACTCCTGCAGAGAAGCTGACGACTGGGAAGAAGAATCCGTCGGTGTTGAAGTCCTCAAACATGCCCTGCACAGGCTGCCCGTTGATCCTGAAGGACATGCTAGGAGCTCCTAAATCCAGACAGCAGCTCACCACATCGTCTGAGTTCAGCAGGTGCTGGTTAATGGAGGCCACTGCCCTTGGGATTCGCCCTGGACCACAGAGTGGGGGGGGTCAATTACATTTGCAAAGTCACAGTAAATGTAGGCCAGAATGATAAGTGAGGTGATGAGACGGTGTCAAGAGGAGAGGCAGGTGCTGAAGGCCTGAAAACGACTGACATAAAATGGATGCGGAGGAGTGATGGATCGATTAGAGGCTTTGGAAGTGAAAGATAAAATTATGAAGATGCAAAAGACATCTGCAGTCAGCTGGAACCTCACTTACAGGCTCGGCCGCATGTTTGATGGAAGACGTGCACCAAACTCATTTAAGATGCTGAGTGGCTTTTCAGAAGATGTCAGGAAAATTCAATAATCTAGATTTCTACTCCGTTTGTCCTTCAGTATAAACAGCAGCCTTGTGGTCTGGCATTATTTATGAACCAACCTGGAATTACATCACCGCACAGCAACAACCTGGTGCCAGTTTGCATTAGTAAAAACGTTACGAAGTACATTTTGGTTTAAAATATATTCATGGTTTGCCTGTTGAATTATACAAGAGCCACAAACTAAGATGTTCAAATATTTTCCTCTACAGACAAAAAGGTCAGCTGGTCTCCTGAGCTAGACGATGTTTTACTCCTGATTTCAGTTAAACTGGATTTTGTTTTGATTTAAACAGACCAGGTTACATTTAAAGAATAGTTCCCGAGCGCAGCCACTGCTGCAGCTCACCGCTCTCCATGGGGATGGCTCAAATGCAGAGAAGCAATTTCACCAGTCTGTGATGATGACTAATGGGACTTTACCGTTAAAATAATTTTTTTATCATTAACTTTTATTTTATTTATTTTGTCATAAATGTATTAAAATGCCCTGAGATGATGTTTGCACAGATTTGGATGTATAAAAATAAATAAGTATAGAATCGCCCCATTCCACAGAACTGTTTCCACCCGGACCAATTTAAACGTGACACACTCTGAGCCTGATCACAAAAGCCCCATTCCCACCTGTACCGGGTCGGCCCGGGCCGGGTAGCGTAGGTTGTTTACATATCTGGGTGGCCTGGAATTTTCCCGGGCCAACCAAGGCTCATTCTCGGCCCTCTTCCCGAGGGGTACTGCTTCAGGCCGACCAGGGCCAACACGCCCACTGCTGACAGCAAATTCACACCTTCCATTAGAGCAAGCCTCTGATTGGTGGGTAGAATCAGCCCATTCACACCTTCCATTAGAGCAAGCCTCTGATTGGTGGGTAGAATCAGCCCACATGGGCTTAAGACAAGGATGTGTGGAATCAACCGGGCCAGGCTGGGGCCGACTGGGGCTACCCGGCCCGGGCCGACCCGGTACTGATGGGAATGGCCCATTAGGGTGTTCATAAAACAAGTACCGCTGAAGACAGCTTTAATCTGTGACTGTGATTTAGCATTGAGCTGCTTTTTATACCCTGATTAGGTTAACAAGATGAGTATGTGTAGGATGTATGCAGCAATATGCTAGCATTACTAGCTCCTGTTAGCATAAGGCAGCTAATTATTGGCTACAGCTAGTATTATTCTATTAGCGCTCCATTTTAACAAGGTGTAACATGATGAAGGAGCCATTTCTCCCCTCTAACAGCTGTTCTGTTTGACACAGTGTCAGTGTGCATGAAACAGCCTCAAGGTCATGCATTCAATTCTAATCTGTTTCCATTCCAGCAGTGAAGACAGAAGAACGAAGAATGAACTCTTTTCTTTTAATTAATCAAAGAATTCTATTTTAATAAAGCTAATCAAAACAACTGTTAGTCAATAATAACCATGTGACCGATCTGTGAAATCAAAATGTTATGATTAATGTTTAATAAGGAAATGACGTATTCTAGCCACTAGTCAGCTGATACACAAAAGATAAATAATCATGACCAGTGTTGGGAACGTTACTTTAAAAAAGTAATTAGTTATAGTTACTGATTACTTTGTCAAAAAAGTAACTCAGTTACTAACTGAGTTACAAGATTATAAAAGTAACTAATTACCAAGAAAAATAACTACTTAGTTACTTTTTTTGAAAGCATGCAAGAATTACTACAATAGTAAAATATAAATGACTGATGACTGGAACATAATAAAATGTATGTCCAAATGCTTTTTATAAACCTGAATAATTTAAATAAATAAGCACTTAACAGGAGGACCTACTAACAGGAACATTACACTTATCTAGACTATTAAAAGGTGTCTGTGTGATATTTAACAAGACCCCAATCAGCTAAAATTTAAAATTGCAAATAGAAACACCTGTAAAGGTTCCCGTGCCTTTAAATGGTCTCTCAGTCTAGTTAAATTACAGAAATAAATGTAAGTTTGCACAGTATTCTAATTTTTCCAGCTTCACATAATTATGTGTTTTAGCAGCATTTCTGTTGCTGCTAATCTAGTAATGGTTAAATAAATAAATAAAATCCTTTAAAATGACACTAGAAGAGGCACAAACCTGATTGAGGACTTACATTTACTAACTTGGGTCAGACCCAACCACAGAAGAGCTGAAGCTGGGTGGTAAACACACACAGGTAGTTCTAATAACACCTGAGCTCCATGACGTCTGAGACTGATGCATCAGTGTTACAGCGGGACTAAAGACATGATCAGAAACAGGATACAGCTGGATGATCTAGGAAGGTAGAAGATCAGGACGTCTGAGCGGTGAACAGGTGAGCGGACCTTCGGGACGTCCCGCTGTCACGCCAAGAAGGGCACGGCTGCAGACCCGCAGATTCGCTGCAGCAGCAATGAATCTGCGGGGGGTCTGCAGCCGTAGACTATTCATCATGTCTTCCTCGTTCTTCACGGGCCGTGATGCTCTTGGATGAAAACATCTACCTCTTTAGCTCCTGATCAGTTGATGACAGCTTCAACACACCGCGCTGCTTAACGCACACATTTCCTCATCAGAACAGAAACGACGTTTTGATAAAAGAAGACGGTAATTAATTAGTTTGCTCGTTACAGAAAGAAATATTTTTTATTAACGCGGTTATTTTAAATGGCGTTATTCCCATCACTGCTCTGTTGTGTTTACAGCAGGCAGCGACTGAGACCGTGAGGGTCTCCGCCCACCCGGCCAATCATCATCGTGTTTGTAAGTGCGTTACCGACACCTCTCTCTCCCTGGCTGCAGCTGAAGTGTGGCGGTCAGAAAGCCTCACACTGTTGCTCAATGTTCGACAAGCACATAGTAACGCACAACCTTCCGTCCCCAGTAACGTTAACGGTGTTGCAACAGTGGGAAAAGTAATTAATTAGATTATTCCATTACCTATAAAAGAACGCCTTTAGTAACGCCGTTATATTTAAACGGCGTTACTCCCAACACTGATCATGACACATTCCGGTCGCAAATCCAATCAGAACCTTCACTCTGAAGCATGGCAGAGTCTCTGTGGTGTTTATTTAATCTGTCAGCTGTGATTCGTCCAGAATCGTAAACATCAAGATTAATAAGTCAAAACAACGCCATTTTGAGTTCAGTATTCAGCCAGCTCTCAAGATCCCCTGAAGTTCATCATTGCTAAGTGGAGTACGGACCGGCCATCTGTACTTTTTACTTTTAAGCTGAGAACTGCCAAGCTGGGAAATCCTGTCGTTATCAACAAAACAACGGTTCCTTCAGATAAAAGCTGAACTCGCTGACCCAAACGTTGATGCTGTGAAACACCTGCCGCTTTTTACTGGAGA